CCCACTTCATTGGATGCATAAAATGGAACATATAGTGAGGAGATATATATATACATACAGAGCACATGAAAAGGTGGGAGTTGCCCTACCCACTCTAAAAGGCTAATTAATTGAGATGAGCTATTATTAGCAGGAGAAAAAAACTTTTGAAGTGATAATCAAGATAGTCCATTTCAGACAATTTGACAAGAAGGTGTGAGGATACTTAACATGGGGAAATAGATTCAATGTGTATAATGGCTCAGTGTGTAATGGTATCATCAACTTAGGTTTAAATAGAAACTGGGAATGGCTGAGCCATTACACACATTGAATCTATTTCCCCATGTTAAGTATCCTCACACCTTCTTGTCAAATTGTCTGAAATGGGCTATCTTGATTATCACTACAAAAGTTTTTTTCTCCTGCTGATAATAGCTCATCTTAATTAATTAGCCTCTTGGAGTGGGTAGGGCAACTCCTATCTTTTCATGTTCTCTGTATGTATATATATCTCCTCACTCTATGCATCCGATGAAGTGGGCTGTAGCCCACGAAAGCTTATGCTCAAATAAATTTGTTAGTCCTAAGGCCTTGGCTACACTTGCAGATGTACAGCGCTGTGAGTTAAACCTGACTTCGTGCAGCTGAGTAGGGAAAGCGCTGCAGTCTGTCCACACTGACAGCTGCCCAGCACACTGTCGTGGCCACATTTGCGGCAATTGCAGCACAATTAGGAGCGGTACATTATGGGCAGCTATCCCACAGGGCACCTTTTCCCATTCTGGCGCCATGGGTTCTGGGAAGGGGGCGTGGGTGCGGGGGATTCTGGGTCCTGTCCCAATGCCCCGTGATGCATCGCTTCGCATCCCAGAAATCCCTTTGTTTCTGTCCACCTTTCAATGGTTTCTGTGCAGTGCGATCTGTCTGCGGGAAATGGAGTCCAAACTGCTGAGGCGTATGCTGACTTATCTCGCCAGCACGTCACGTTTGGCTGTCGAACTATTCCTTAAGATCCAAAGTGACAGTGAGAGTGAGGGTGAGGAGTCCGACGATGCTATCGAGCCGCGTAACGCGTACGACACGAAATTGCTTGTGGCATTCATGGACATGCTCAGCACCGTGGAACGCCGCTTTTGGGCTCGGGAAACAAGCACCGAGTGGTGGGATCACATCGTCATGGAAGTCTGGGATGACGAGCAGTGGCTGCAGAACTTTCGGATGAGAAAAGCCACTTTCATGGGACTGTGTGAGGAGCTTGCCCCCACCCTGTGGTGCAAGGACACGAGATTGAGAGCTGCCCTGCCAGTGGAGAAGTGGGTGGCTATTGCAATCTGGAAGCTGGCAACTCCAGACAGCTACCGGTTGGTCGCAAACCAGTTTGGAGTGGGAAAGTCGACCGTTGGAATAGTGTTGATGCAAGTTTGCAAGGCCATTAATCACATCCTACTCAGAAGAACCGTGACTCTGGGTAACGTGCAGGAAATAGTGGATGGCTTTGCACAAATGGGGTTCCCTAATGGTGGAGGGGTGATAGATGGGACGCACATTCCTATTCTGGCACCACCCCACCTAGGATCCGAGTACGTTAATCAGAAGGGGTATTTCTCTATGGTTCTCCAGGCGCTTGTGGATCACCGTGGGCGTTTCATTGACATTAACACAGGCTGGCCCGGAAAGGTGCATGACGCACGCATCTTTCGGAACACTTGGCTGTTCAGGAAGATGCAGGCCGGGACTTTTTTTCCCAGAGCAGAAGATCATGGTAGGGGAAGTTGAAATACTCATTGTGATCCTTGGAGATCCCACTTACCCATTAATGCCGTGGCTCATGAAACCCTACACAGGGAGCCTTGACAGCAGCAAGGAACGGTTCAACTACAGGCTGAGCCGGTGCCAAATGACTGTGGAGTGTGCCTTTGGCTGTTTAAAGGCCCGCTGGCGATCTCTGTATGGGAAGCTGGACTTGGCTAAAAACAGCATCCCCGCGGTTATATCCGCGTGCTGTGGCCTCCATAATATTGGTGAAGGGAAGGGTGAAAGCTTCACTTAGGCATGGACCTCTGAGGTTCAACACCTGGAGGCTGAATTTGCACAGCCAGAGAGCAGGGCTATTACAGAGGCCCAGCGCGGGGCTGCAAGGATTAGGGATGCCTTAAGGGAGCAATTTGAGGCTGAAAACCCGCAGTGATATCTGGTGCCCTGCACGGGAGTGAAGTGCAGTAGTTCCAATCTTTAGGAATCAGTGTTTGCTAAGCAGACAAGCAGACTTGCAGTGCCTGTTTATTTCCTGGGCTAAGGAGTCTTTTACTTTATGCAATAATAAAGAATGTTTTCAAAGCCAAAAAATCCATTTATTGAAAAGAAAAAAAATTATTTATTGAAAAGAAACAAGGGGGTGGAGTGGGGAACAGTACAATCACAGATTCACGTATGTCCTGTCTGGTGTGCTGTGCAGTGAGTGCTGCACTTCAGGACAGCTATACTGCATGGTGATGGGGGTTGAGTGCAGAGGGTAAGGGTCGTGGTTTTCAGGGCTGGGTGGTGAAGATACTGGTGTTGGAGGCAGCGGGTGGCGTGAAGAACACGGAAGTTGGGGAAAGTGGGTTGGAGGTGACAGTGGGGCACAACGGAAAGAGTTTTGGGACAAGGGCTGTGGGGGGGGATGGCGTTTGCGTTTGCGGTACTGCTCCTCTTTCTGCATGGCTACCAGCTCCTGGATAGCGTCTGCTCGGCACTCCAGGATGCTTATGAGCCTATCAGTGCTTTGCTGCCGGTGCGCGGTGCTTTGCCGCCGGTGCGCTGCATTTTCTTGGCGGATCCTGCTTTCTCTCTCCCTCCAGTTCTGTGCTTTCTCATTCTCTTTAATAGATTGCCGCATCACTTCTTGCAGCATGTCTTCTTTGCTTTTTCGCGGTCTCTTCCTGAGTCTTTGCAGTCTCTGAGCAGGCGATAAGAGGGACGGCTGAGGTCTCAAGGTTGATGCAGCTGTATAAGCAAAATGCAACATTTAACAGAGGCAGCATTGTTTATACCAGACAGAGTAATGATTCCCCCCGCACTTAAGGAGTAGAAAACACACAGGGTCTACACAATAGCATAATTTTCCCGTCCGAAACCAAGCACACATATCTCATGGGAGCCTCAAAATGGTGAGTAAGGGGGACTGATTGTTTCAGGGCTGCACTGTCCTCTGGGTTTCTGTGCCTTGGGGAGAGCCAACAGCTTCAGGGGGCATCTACACTGAACAGTGTCCCAATATTTTCCACAGGAGTTCGTCCTGGACGATATCTCGCTGCTGAGGGTGACTTGGGAAGCAAGGGAGGGTCTTCTACTGCAATGCGGCTTCCGCCCTGGCCCATAAGCAGCTTGCCTGTGTGCAGCAATGGTCCCCCCGCCCCTCGCGGCACAGTGGCGCAGACACGTTAGCCTGGCTGGGACAAGGACCACGGTGGCCCTCCCAATAAACCTGTGCAAGCGCATTGCACACGTTCTGGATGAGACATTCGAGGAGATTACCGAGGCCGATTACCGCGATGTGATAAACCACATCAATGCACTATTCCATATCTAGGCATGCATACCTAACCCTCCTCTCCCAAAGAGCCCGCACCGAAAAAATTCCTTCCCAAAAAAAAAAAAAACGCTTACCGGGAACCTGCTCTTCTGTTTGTCCTCCACCAAGTACCGGCCGCTGCGACTGGCTACCTTCCTCCTGGCTCGAGAAGAGCTCCTGGCTGCATGGCTCCAGGGATTCCGGGGTGTCTCCATCTGGCCCACCACCATCACTCCCGTTTTCCTCCTCCTCCTCCTCTTCCTCCTCCCCCCCCCACCGGCTCTGAAGTGTCCATGGTGGTGCTCAGAGTGGAGGTGGGGTTAACCCCAAGTATCGCATCCAGCTCTTTGTAGAATCGGCAGGTCGCAGGGGGAGCACTCGAGCGGCCGTTTGCATCGCGGGCTTTGTGGTAGGCACTCCGCAGCTCCTTCACTTTAATCCTGCACTGCAGGGCGTCCCGGTCATGGCCCCTTTCATGTCCTTTGATACCTTCCCGAAGGTATCGTAATTCCTACAGCTGGTGCGCAGCTGGGACTGTACAGCTTCCTCCCTCCAAACACTGATGAGGTCCAGCAACTCGCCATTGCTCCATGCTGGGGCTCGCTTGGCGCGTGGAGGCATGGTCACCTGGAAAGATTCGCTGATAGCACTCCACACCACGCTGGGCTGAGCAAAAAGGGGATTTTTAAAATTCCCGGTGAATGTAAAGGGTGGGTCACATGGTTGGTTACCTGAGGCCAGGCAGTAGAGTTTGAACTGATGACCAGAGTGGCTAGAACAGGCATTGTGGGATACTGCTGAATAATTCTGGAGGCCATTCACAGTGCATTGGGCGGCCACACTGGCGCCGCAGCGCTGCAGCGGCAGCGCAATACTCGCTATTCCTCTCGGGGATGTGGAGTACATGCAGCGCTGCAACCACGGAGATACAGCGCTGCAAATGCCTTGCCAGTGTGGACGGGGAGTGAGTTACAGCGCTGGGGGAGCCTTTACAGCGCTGTAACTCGCAAGTGTAGCCAAGGCCTAAGGAGCCACAAGTACTCCTGTTCTTTTTGCGGATACAGACTAACACGGCTGCTACTCTGAAACCTGTAATAAAGCATTGGGCTTCCTAGTAAAATCCAAGTGCATGGTAAGATTATTTTCCTATGGCCCTCTATTTATCAGTCTATGCTTTGCTACTTGACTGAGAGCCTCCTGACTCTTCCATTCCATCTTTGGATCTATCCTTGATGATGCAGCAATAGGAGCTGTGGATTTGGGTTTTATTAATCAGTGCTCTCTGGAATTGTGCCAACACAAAATATTGTCAGCCATGCATTTCAAAAGCTTCAGTGACTTATTTCATGCCAATGTGAAGGCAACAAAGTTTCATTTTATACACCTGAACAATAAAATATTTTAATATTGAATTTCTGAGTATTCCTTATGAAGATACTGTATAAGATTGTATTAGGTCATTTGAATGAAGGTATACAGTACATTACTCAAATCAATCTACCATGCATTATAATATGTAATAAATTTAAAACTTTATTATTTTTTTTTCCTTTCAGTTTTACAAAAGTAGCAGGAATGTGAGATCCTTTCTTCATCATCAAACGTGCAATCACTAGCAACATTTAAAAACAACAACCGAGTGATCACAAGTTAGCTTAAATAGCCCCAACTATCCCTGAAGAGCTACTGTGTGCTGTACAAAAGCTGAATAATCCTCGCAGTGTCAGGGGGTGACTCTTCAGCTGTTCAGGATCATGAGATGATATCCAGCACTCATAAAACAGCAGATTTAAAACACAAGAACATACACTTAGGTAAAGATCATCGTGACAGTATTGGAAGTAATCCACAAGAATTGTCAACACCCTGGAGGCCAAACTAACATGACTGAGTCAAAGAATTCAAGCTTTTACTCAAAACCAAACAAAAGAATACAGCAAATTCACACTGAATTATGCACATTAGGAATATGAACATTTTCCTTCACATTTGGCTAATTTTTAATCTTTTACAAGATAACTGGGGAAAAGGGGCATTTGTTGAGAGCACACTTTCAATTTAAATACATACTGAGTTATTTACATAATAACAGAACTGCAATCTGGGCAAAAGTATTGCTGATCTTTATTGCCTAGTGATTTGCATAAAATAATTTATCACATTTATGAAGGCACATTGATAGAAAAGGAACCATTTCAACATTTTTTTAAAAAATGATTGTTTTTAATTCATTATAAGGGGATTTGTTTTGGCCCCTGCATTTAGAAAAATACCATTTGGTTTTCAAGACCTAATAATCTTTGCTTTAAATATTTACATGGTAGTTTCTTCCCATTCAAGTTCCACATCACCTACAACAGAAACAAATACATTAAATTAAACTGCTTTTTAAATGAACATTAACCAATTACTGATAACTCTTAATATCTATTTGAAAGAATTTCTGTTGAAAAATGTAAATAGTTTGAGCAATGACTGATACCATAATCTGGGTTAAAGGGCAGCAGAAAGCCATAACTTTGCACTTATCAAGCCTCCAAGTGCTTGTCAAAGTATGCTTATTAGTATGAACAAATCAAAGCACCTGCTAGGAAAAAATAACTTTGGAACAATCTGTATCTACTTACCTTCCATGGCATCCAAAGAGTCCATCTTTTGCAGTGCTGAATAATTTACAAAACATATGGACTGACTGCTTCCCTTGCTTGTCAATAGGTCCAAAACACACTGATGCAAAAATATATATTGTGCCTGTATGATGTAAAAGTTAGAGGTTACTTACATGAATTTATGATGAAAAATTTGCTTTTAATAACAAAATATTTTAACACAATTTTGAATAAAAACCTATAGATGTTCTGAAAGTAATTCTAGTTTTACAACTTGTTCCAACCCTTTGATAATGTCTTATGTCTGACCCTATTCTGATAATTATGAATGATCAATTATTAGTCTATAGGCATGTTAATTACTATGCTCAGTCAAATATACAAAAATTATTCCAAACATAACTGAAGATAATAGACTGCACCACACCATTCCCTCAAAGCTAGTTATACATGAAAAAATGTGTTCAGCTTGTTTTTCAACATTTGATTCAGACTGAAGGAGCTGAACCACATCTATCAAGCACTTAAATGAAGAAACTTTCCTCCCTCCTAGCATGCTGAAAGCCAGCAGGGTGCAGTCAAATGCAAAAAATCCACTAAATTCCATTCACTTAATACGTGGCCTGTTCATGACGGAAAAAACAAATAGCTTCTAAAGATAGATGCCTGTTGTAGAGGGCATTTTGAGACCCAGCTTAGAAATAAAAATGTTGACTTTCTTGGCTTTTGTGCATTGGGATAAAACTCTTAATCATTCAAACTGTTTCTAATACATAATGAGGGTTTCATTTAGATGGTTATGTCTCTGGACTCAGTAATTCTCAAGCCGCAGATAATTGAAACAATAAACTTTCAGAGCTGCTGCAATATACAGTAGCAATACATATTTTTTGCATATATTGTTTCCTGAAATCCTTATTGACATGATAGGGTGCTTCAAAATACCCATTGTAGTAAAGCCTTTTTTGGGGAAGATATCTTGTTCTGTAATGGATCCATCAGGCAAATATGAGCTGTGACCTGACAGACTGAAGTTACTACAACATACATTTTTTAAATAGTTTATATTATTCAGATTTTGAACCCCAAAGGCTGTAAAGTCTGTTGTGCCAAAGCAGCACCCACTTGTATGCACTAAAAATCTTTCTGAAATTCCCATTGGGGCAGGAAAAAGGATGAAGGGGAGCACATGATGTGCCAAAAACCTTTTTGTAGGGTCTTTTCCTGGAGAAAAAAATCATTCATTAGGGACTAGACTGTGCATTTTACATACAGTGGAACCTCAGAGTTAAGAACACCAGAGTTATGAACTGATTGGTCAGCCACACGCCTCATTTGGAACCGGAAGTATGCAATCAGGCAGTAGCAGAGGGGAAAAAAGCAAATACAGCACAGTGTTGTGTTAAGCGTAAACTACAAAAAAAAAAAAAAAAGATAAAAAAAAAAGACTTGACAAGGTAAGGAAACTGTTTCTGTGCTTGTTTCATTTAAATTAAGATGGATAAAAGCAGAATTTTTCTTCTGAATAGTAAATTTTCAAAGCTGTATTAAGTCAATGTTCAGTTGTAAACTTTTGAAAGAACAACCATAATGCTTTGTTCAGAGTTACAAACATTTCAGAGTTATGAACAACCTCCATTCGTAACTTTGAGGTTCTACTGTATAGCCCAGAGTAAGGGGCCGTGTGTAGCTGAAACACCCCTGAGGGGTCCATATGGTGGCGTGTAGAGTACAGACGCTGCACACGCAGCAAGCACAGGTACAGATAGCAGCGTAGATGGTGAGCCATGGCTTAGGCAGGTAGTGTAGAGTGCCCTACATTCCTGAACCCTAGGGTATATATCCTGTACAGCTCTCTACACACCCAAGCAGGGGGAAGGCAGGTCTACACTGCTACTTTTAGCAGAGCATTTCCCTGCCACAGTGAAAGACTCAAGTGGGAAAAGGCTCTAGGCTGCTGGAACCTTTCTCCTCTATCCCCACTGCTGGAGGCTTTTGCTACTGCATGTATCTACCCACTGTACAGAGTATGGTCACTGCAGCATGTAGTGACATGTACCCTACACACCGTCACAAGTGCAGGCAGTTGCAGACGAGGTCTCGGAGAGACACAATGCCTCTCAGAGTGCCTCGGTTGTGCTGGAGGGGGAAAAGGGAGTGGTTTTCTATAATCCTTTTTAGGGTTCCGCTTACTCCTTAACCAGTACTGCTGTAGGGTTGCCAACTTTCTAATCGCACAAAACTGGACACCCTTGCCATGCCCCCCGCTCTGCCCCTTCTCTGAGGTCCCACCCCCACTCACTCTACCCCCCCCCATTGCTCGCTCTCCCCCATCCTCACTCACTTTCACTGGGCCTGGGCAGGGGCTTGGGGTGCGGGAGGGGGTGAGAGCTCTGGCTGGGGGTGCAGGCTCTGGGGTGGGACCAGAAATGAGGGGTTCAGGGTGCGGGAGAGGGCTCTGGGCTGGGGCTGATGGGTTTGGACTGCAGGAGGGGGCTCAGGGCTGGGGCAGGGTGTTGGGGTGTGGGAGGGGCTGCGGGCTCAAGCTGGGGGTGTGGGCTCTGGGTTGGGGCCGGGGATGAGAGGTTTGGGGTGCAGGAGAGGGCTCAGGGCTGGAACAGGAGGTTGGGATGCAGGAGGGTTGCGGGGTGTGGGCTCTGGGAGGGAGTTTGGGTGCGGGAGGGGCTCAGGGCTGTGACAAGGGGTTGAAGTGCAGGCGGGTTTCGAGGTATGGGCTCTGGGAGGGAGTTAGGGTGTGGGAGTGGGTTCTAAAGTGGGGCAGGGAGTTGGGGTGCGGGAGGGGGTTTGGGGTGCAGGCTCCGGCCGGGTGGTGCTTACCTGAGACGGCTCCCGAAAGCAGCCGGCATGTCTGGCTCCTAGGCATAGGAGCCGGGGGGGTTCTGCACGGTGCCCACACCCGCAGGCGCCACTCCTGCAGCTTCCATTGGCAGTGGTTCTTAGCCAATGGGAGCTGCGGAGCCGGTGCTCGGGGCAGGGGCAGTGGGTGGAGCCTCCCTGGCTCCCCCCGAACCTAGGAGCAGGAGGGATATGTCGCCTGCTTCCAGGAACTGTGCAGAGAAAGGGCAGGGAGGGAGCCTGCCTTAACCCCGCTGCACCACTGATTGGACTTTTAATGGCCCGGTCAGCGCTGCTGACCAGAGCTGCCAGGATCTCTTTTCAACCGGGCGTTCCTGTCTAAAACTGGATGCCTGGCAACCCTATGCTGCTAGCTGACACATAAAGTGTTGTGTATAGGGGGGAACAAGGGAGTTGAGTCATGGCCTGGCCTAGTCCCTGCCCCTCCCTGGGGATAGTGTCTCATGCACAGCCCCTGCACTCTCCCGGCACCTAGAGTTAAGATTCAGGTAGACAGGCTGGCAAGGAGGGAGTCCCTACTCCTCTTCCTATTTCCCTGCACAGCTATGTTAGGCTTATTCTTAATCTAGCCCTGTACCAGCGGTTCAAAATTGCAACACAATGGTTTGCAAAAGTAAAACAATTTCAATGTTATAAATATGGAAAGAAAGGGTGATATTTATTTTATTATATTTTATTCCTACAATTTAAAGAGAGGCTGATTTTTTATTTTTTATTTTTTGATTGCAGGTGGGAGGGAATTGCTTCTGTCTTGGTACCTTCTCTATGCTGACAATTTAAAACCCAAATTAGAGATCTTTATGAGGTGTTTTATAACAGAAATGTCAGAATAGCCTTGACTGCTAAAACCCTGCTTTGTTTAGGAAAACAATGGAAAACCCTCAAAAACTAATAAGATTCATTCTGTTTCGATCAGTCTCAATGGTGACATGGAGTATTGCACCTATTGGTTCTGCAAAACTGTGCTGGAAATGACTTGGAGAAGAACAAGCTCTCTCATGACACTGCAATATTATACCGAAGTAACAATGACAATACTTCCTGCCTTTGATCAGGTTGGAAATCAGTATTAAGAGAACAGCCTCTTGTGTTACATTTTGGCACTTCCATTTTTGGCCTCTGCCAGAATCTGTAAGCACAGAGGTGAGCAAAAGTGACAAACATACGTATTTAAAATAAGCCTTGACCTTATCTATTGTCTTTTTTATTTGTAATAGTTTGGTTCTGTGAGGCCTCCACTGAATGGCCTCCCACTGAGGCCATTTAGATTATTTGATTTGCAGTGAAGGGTGTAAGACTACCGGTTCCAGTGCTCCTCACCACAGTAAAATCCCAGTGATAGGAGTTCTGTTATTTTCTCACCTAGCTACATGTGCTACATTTAAACTTACCTGTGATGGTCCTCACTCTGGGGCTGGTTGGTCAGGGTTAAGGCCTGTGACCTGCAGGGGGGTTGTTGGTAGGGGAGCTTGGGCCCCCCCATTCCACTGGGCTCTGAACCAGGGCCCTTTGAGTGCTACCAGTGATCAGACAGCCGATGCTGCTTAAGGCTGCCTTCTCTGGGCCTTTTCCCATCTCCCCTCCTGCAACTGTCCCAAAGTCATGATCCGGGTTAAGGCAGTGTGAAGGGTGCCCGCTCATCACAAGGCACCTTCTGATGGTGGCATCTTCTCAGGCGCCACCTGCCTCCACCCACAATATGGCCCACCCTCCTGGGCCAGCTCAGGGCTTTCCTCTGCTGGGATAGTCCAAACAAAAAATAAAGGGGATTACCAAAGTCTAGAGTTCATATGGGGGGAGAGGGGAATGCTTCCCTCTCCAGCTGTCTGTAGCAGGTCCTCCTTTCCCTCAGGGAGGGATCTTTGGGCAATTGTCTTAGGGAGAGATTTCTGCCTTCCCTCCACTCTCATCTGCTGGAGATGCAGGTCGCAGGTCTGCTCTCTTCCCTGGTCTGCCACTGCCACCAAATGAGCTGTTCCCCTGCCTTTTAACCAGTGGCGCAGCCAGCTTCTAAGAGGAGGGGGAGCAAACATAAAAAAGGCGCCCCCCCTTGGCTCCTCCTCTGGCCACGCCCCCTTGGCTCCTCCTCCGGCCGCACTGCCCCTCCCCCCCATGGCTCCTCCGGCCCTGCCGTGCCACCCACATGGCCCCCCCTCGCTCCTGCGGCTGCCGGCCGCCATGCTGCGCCCCCCCTCCCCTCGCTCCTCCGGCCGCTTTTGGAAAGGCGGGGGAGCGGCTGCTTCCCCTGCACCCCGCTAGCTATGCTACTGCTTTTAACTCTTCCTCCAGTAGGGAAATTTCCAACAGGTGTGGCGGGGCGGGACAGGCTGGGCCCAGAGCAGTTCCTTTACCCCTTGTTGCCCAGTGTGGGGTTGTACACCCCATCATACTACCAAACTAACATTTGCTAGAGAACAAACAGAATAGAATGGATATTTTTTTAACCCCCTACAGCCATCTATTGTTACTAGAGAACTCTACATTTTGATGCCAACCATTAATAAACAGAATAAAGAAGGGAAAAATATCCCAAACGATAAACAACCAGACCACAATATTTTCCATGTGACATTGTACCATGGTCTCAATTTTCATCCTAAGATTCCAAAATTTCAGATTTATAGGTTCAACTGCTGGAAAGGACAGACTAACTTTACACATCACCTTCATCTCACTTCTCATATTCTCTGATCCAATATGGGTAGCAGGAATGTTTCCCAAACCGAACAAGCCTCCTTTTGCAGGGCATATCTACACAAACACTTATTGCATAGCAAGCTGGGAGGTAAATCTACAGTGCTCCAGCATGCTGCACACTAACTGCCTATATGGACCCTTCTAGTGAACATTAAAAGTTCCCTAGTGCACTTTGCTGTACTGCTCTTTCAAACCGTGGCAAGTCAATGCACACTAGGGAACACCTAGTGCACATCACCAGGGTCCACATGGACAGTTAGTGTGTGGCACACTGGAGCTCTGTAGATGAACATTCCAGCTAGCCACAAACTAAGTATTTGTATAAACATGCCCACAAATAGCTTTGAAACCATCAGGCTGTACTCGGCAGAATGCCAGCAGGAGACTAAATCTCAATATAAAGCACCGATAAGCTTGTAAGTCACCTCTTAGACAAAGAGGCTCAAATTGATACCACTCTCTCTGCTGGCAAGGAAGAGTATGCGATGAACTAGCAACTCGGTCAAGAGTGACCCTTCCAAAGGGTCTGAACCTGCACCCATTGAAGTCTGACCCCAACAACAAGAACACACCCCTTATTAGCTCAGTCTAAGACCTGCGGTTCTTACAGCTAAGCACCCTTAATTATAGTGGTTGAGTTAGCTCAAGGATCTCAAACTTTTTCATACTGTGTACTGTATCTTAATACAGATGTTATCTCATAGCCATTTCCTTTTCCATTCGTGGGTGACATCCAGACCCTATTAACGTCAATGGGAGTTTAGCCACCTGCTTCAATGAAACCAGAGTTTCACCTCATGATTATATAAGAACCCTGAGGCAACTACAGCAATTGCTTACAATTTAACTGCTAGAAATAAGCAGGAAGAGTCAGCACCATGTTACAAGCCTGGTCTCCAGGGAGTACTGGTGCTTCTCACACCACAATTTAAGAGCCTCTAAATTAGATAATACTATTAGACCTACAGGAATGAATACAAGGATTACACTGAATTGGTGCATTAAGCGCAGCTTTAAATTCCACTAAGGCTCCATGGAAAGCGGCAGCATGTACCCAGATCTCTAAGCCTAGGATAGTCCTTTTACTAGCAGTTCAATTATTTTTCTCTTAATAACTTATACTCACCTTGCATATGATTGCTAAAAATGTATCTTGTTTTAGGCCCATAGAAGTCTCTTCAAACACTTATCTTACAAATACTGAAGAGTGCATATAACTTAATTCACTTGTGTAATCTTATTTAAGTCAATTTAAAATAAGTCAGTCAATGGGACTATTGATATGGGTAAAGTTAAGCACATGTTTACATTTTTGGAGGATGGAGCTCTATATTTATATAAACTTACTTGTCAGAAAGAAGTTAATAAAGCCAAATATAATAAGATATGGGCAAATCAGTTTGGGTTTAAAAAAATTACCTGAACCTTCACCCAAAATTCAAAATAAACCTTTTTACAAAGTCTGAGAAGGTTTGATTTACTTTTTAAAAACACTACCTTTCATCTTTCCACTCCTTGGCTGGGAGAAGTGTCAAAGACCTCAAGAAAGCCTACTGGTATAATGCTTCCAATCCAACCGGGAGCAGGAAGTACTAGAAAACTTACAATAAGGCTGATTTTCACAAGTTTTGTTGCTCATTTTTGCAGTATTACAGAGAACAAAATGTTTTCTTAACATAGGATGTATATAAATTCTATATGTCTTACCAGGTTCTGTACCATACACATTCTCTCACTTCTCAGCTCAGCTACAAGTCCATACATGTCCACAAAATCATGATCATTTATATGTTGTGTTAAGTGATCAAGTGCAATATAAACCCCTGTTCTTCCAACTCCAGCACTGTAAAGAATATATATAAAATAAAATATAGTTTTTACACTAATTATTTTAATATATATAATTGCAAATCTTCAGTATAGCAGATCCAGTGGCTGGAAGTTGAATCTAGACAAATTCAGACTGAAAACAAGGCTTACATTTTTAATGGTGAGAGTAATTAACCATTGAAACAATTTTGCAAAGGTAGTCATGGATTCTCCATCACTGACAATTTTTAAATCAAGAGTGGATGTCTTTCTAAAAAGATATGCTCTAGGAATAATTCTGGGGCAGTTCTATGACCTATGCTATACAGGAGATCAGACTAGGTGATCATCATGGTCCGCTCCAGCCTTTGAATCTATGAATTCAAAACCTCGAAAAATAAATTTATCATGAAAAGAAAATTGGGCGAAAACTAGAATCTTTATCCACCCTCTCACTCTGGTACCTTTATTGATTGGGATAAAATGGAATCTAGATGTGAACTCTGACCTGGCTTTGGTTTTGCAAAGCCAAAGCCTGACTCACGAGGTGCAGCTAAATCAAAACTATCCTATTTAGCAAACTGTAGGAATTGGAAGGAGCCAAAAAGCTTTTATATGAATCCCAACAAACTTTGCTGGTTTGAATACAACAAAACTGCAATCACAAGGTTCTGCAAAACTGAAACTTGGATTCCTTGGTGCATTTCTATTAAAAACTAAACAAAACAAAGAGGACTTCTATACAGTGAATTGTTATACAAGAAAAAACATTTGAAAAAAGGTGGGAATAGATAGCTAGGCTGAAGTGGCAAGTCCAACACACTTGTGGCTAGGGGTATTCTTCTTAATTAAGGGGTTTGAAAATTAACAGGGTTACCTTAAAATCATTCCCACATTTATAAGCAAGCAGTGCAAAAAATGCTGGGCAGGAGTAACATGATCACGTTTGCTCACCAAACGTGTGACTGCACTCTGTAAAAGCTGTAACATGTGAGAAGCTCTGCTAAGTGGTATTATAATAAATGAATCCTGTGGTTATGAGGACATGTGTTGCTGCTGCAAGGTCATAGTGACAAAAGCAAGGGAACATCCTTAGTATGGGCTGTGGGCCAAATTCTCTGTCCCCTTTGCAACTCTCTGCAGTGCAAAGGGGATGGAATCTGGCCCTATCTCCCATCTGAGGACAACCACCAGCATGGGGGAGTCCTCAGAAGCATAGAGCCAGTGTAGTTGCCTCTTCCACTAGCCTCTAGTGTAGGGGTTGCGTTGGGAGCAGGGAAGAGGAGTGGCAGGAAAGCATTATGTTCCAGCAGTGGCCATTTGGTGGATAGTCTCTTAGTGGCATTGACAGCTGGAGCAAGTTAGAGAAGTCCCAATGCATTATAGGCTGAACACAGATGAGGGATGGAGCAGAGAATTGAGAGCTGAAACCAAATCGCTCAGTGTCCCCTCACACTGAGCGCAGCAGAGAATCTGGAACAGGGTTCTTAGCCTGAATCACTACTTCAGAATGTGCCCACTGAGTCAGTGGGGACACTGAGAGACCATCTGGAAATGTGGAAAGAACTGTATAAAATGCAGACCTGCTGACCACCTTACTGAAGAATTAGCCTTGCTCAGACACTGACTCTTTGAAATGATAATGTAATGGTGCAGAGAATGAAATCAATGGGAGCGATGAGAGCTGAACACATCTCAGAACCAGACCACTTATTTAGCTCCCCAACATATAGATTTGGGCATCTATTTTTAGGATCCAATTTTGAAATCTGGCCTTTGAATATGAAAGGGATTGTAGACACAACCTTCTATTCCAATTCTCCATTCTTTGCTGGTTCCCATATAGTTTCTGTCTTCTGATAATATATGATATGTAGATTTTAAATAAACTTTTCAACAGTTCTTCCTTAAAGAAAGCTATAATTATGGTAGAAGTCATTAAAAAGTCAACATTTGTCAAGTGTTACCACTCACACATGTCCTATTTTAAGTAAATAGGAAATCTGAAGTGAACTTTAATGTGACTGTATGGTAAATACCGGACTAACTCTTTCACTGACATCATATCAGTTGGATTGCATGGGGTGGAAGGGAAAACACAAACTCGTCTTCTACCTCCAGAAAGAGCTGAGGAACATTGCTTGTGTGAAAGCAGAATGAATTATATTGTTAAAATAGAATGGATTAAAGAAATAATGTATGTTCCTTTAAGCAGCAATAAGGAATGTTGAAATATAGTTGTCAGGAAGAGAAACATTAAGGTATGAAACAATGGGTCCACTTAAGCTAATGGTGGGACATTAACTGGAGGTCGGTAATAGTTAGTAAGGAAATAAGATATGTATATCTAGCCCCAGGTAAACTTATCAGTTCTGCTTCCTTTTGTTATCTTGTTAAGTTCGTGCCCTTTTATCCGTATAAATAAGATAGTTTGAGTCTTGCATGGTGCTCACATTATCTGGGTGTATTAGCAGAGCAGTTTGCTAATAAACAGACAAATTGTGAGTCCTGAGTCTGACTAGGAAATCTGAAGTGAACTTTAATGTGACTGTATGGTAAATACTGGAATAACTCTTTCACTGACATCATATCAGTTGGATTGCATGGGGTGGAAGGGAAAACACAAACTGGTCTTCTACCTCCAGAAAGAGTTGAGGAACATTGCTTGGAAACTTGCACTGCTGCCAGGGCTATACTCTGAATAAAAGAGCAGCCTTTTTTCCCCACTGCTTTCAATCTGACAACTTTCCTGCATACTAATATTCACTTAAATGGTATAACACTTTAAACTGATTTCATGTATGTACTTAATTCTCTGCTTACCTGCAGTGAACAACCATAGGTGTGTTATCATGTGCTCGACTTGCACGGATCAGCTTGACAAAATGGATTAATGGTGCTGTAGTTTCAGGGACTCCATGTTCAGGCCAGGCAGTAAAGTTACACTGACGTACCATCATACAATCCCCATGCTGGCAAGCACAAATTAGATACAAGTTCCGTATTAGAATTTTGAAACAGACCCATATTAGATCTAAAAGTGAACTGCACTGTAACACCTAAGTTTCCCTCGCACAGTCTTCTAAATAACCTTACCTAAAGAGGAAAGTTTGAGACGTACACTGTTGTCAAATGTACTAGCATCAGGAGATAACTTCTTGTGCATGGGTTTAATGACTGTTGTTTATGGGAAGCTGGCAGCAGTCCACCCATGGGAAAGTATTAATGACCTCAGCCAGCAGGAGACTCAACTCTCCCCTTGACTTTACAAGCCAGACGGGACCTGGGTCCAATTTGCAGATTACAAACTGAAGTGTCTCCAGGTCTTCTAGTAGCTCAATGAGCAAAGCTGGCTGAAACTCAATCAGAGACGGTGTTCCATCTGACCCTTCCCTATACTGACTTGCTACTGTCAAGGCAGCCAACTGATCCAATTCCAATTACTCTTTGGCCAGAAAGCAGGGGGAAAGTATATGTGAGCGACTACCCCACTATAGCAGTTATGATAATACATAAAAGCAGGAAGTGACAACCTGACTTCTTAACTACTGTATAATGCATAAGGACAATTTGGATCTATGTTAGTAAAGTAGGATGCGGTGACGGGGATTATGGATGCAAAATGTACATGTTGACTTGCATGGAAAAAACCTTAAATAAACAAACAATAACTCATCCATTTGTGGGTTTAAAACAAAGAGCAAACTGAAAGACAAAAATACAGGATACTTAATCGGCATACTGATAAATGGCACAACTTAAGGTGTAATGTATTTTAGTGACTGCATATGGAACGCTTAGAGAGCATGACTTGTGTTTTCTGAAAGCCTCATATTGGTTAACAAATATGAATTTGTGTTTTGCCAGCATACATTTCTGGCTGTAAACCCCCTTTTACTGTGGCTGCTTCTGTGTTCTGTTTTAACTACAAAACAAATTTACCGTATCTCACAATCTTGTTTTTAAATGTTTCATTGCTCTGTACTATGTACACAATGTATTCCTAGGAGTCTGATAATTGGGATGTTGCCTACTTGTCACCCCTGTTTCCACTAGTGTGTGCCAAGAAAAGATAATGCATCTTTACGTTTGGACATGGAGGGTCACATCCTAGGGTCTGGCAGAATTGCACACTATATATGTCAGTGCTGGAGGTCCAAAGGAGGCATAGGATTGTCTTGGCCACTATATGCAGGACTGATTCCTGAGCCTAAGTGCTCTTCTAGTTGTTACTTGCTGCTAATGGTTCCAAAAGCCTGAAACCACAGAAAGTGCAAGTGGTGTTAAGACACTGAGAGCCACTTGTATTGAGGTGAATCTCCCAGGGCTGGTTATGCCAGCTCTATAGTTCACTACTGCTGCTGATGCAGTACAAAGCAGCTGCACTGTTCCAGAGAATCTCACCCTTCATTGCTTTATCTGGGAGGGATGCATTAGAAGGGATTTTTATCATTCCCAAATTTTTATAATTACTCCCTTCCAGAAAAGATATTGAGATAGTCAGGTAGAAACTTTGACTCCCAGCAGATTAGAGATTCAGTATCCCTGATATTCTACTTCCTATCATCTGGGTTTCACATATCAGTTCCATGCGACAGAAACTGGAGACAATTTTCAAAAAATTAAAAATATTCAGAAAAAACAGACAATGCAATGTATGCAAATTTGGGATTAAAAGAAGAACTTTTAGGGGCAGCTGAGTGGGATGGAACACATTTGACATTCACTGGGATTTAAGAGTGTATTTTTATAAAAGCGTTTTTCACTTTTCCCTTACCCTTTCAATTTTTAGATCCCTGATAGTCCAGTCTATGTGAATATCTTCCACTAATTTGGTAATCACTATATCTCCAAACACAGTCACTGGTTTGTTGTCTTCTGGCCAGTATTGGTGACATCTTACCTGCAGTCAGAGGACACTGCTTATTAACAATGAACATATATAATTCTGATAGAAAGCATATATAATTGACAGTTATTGCATGCATTGTTAACTGATATGCCAGTAACTTACCCGTCCTTTTTCAAAACATTGCGTAAGCATCACAAGCGTTTTTGCTCTAGTCTCCCACACCATTCTCCAGAAATCACCCACTGTTCCTGGTAATGGTCCCTGAGTAGCAATAAACTCATTTGGACACAAATAGCCCTACAATGAAAACATTTAATATATATGGATATACACAAACAAAAAGTGTGTGTGTATGACTCATAATTATGCCTGCCGCCATATCAACAGAGGTTGTGAATTTGTCAGATATATAAATTAAACATGGATAGGCCAGCCAAGTTGTTGCATTGGAAACCTCCAAGGAAAGCCTAAGTGATGTGGATAATTCAATACGTGAGATTCTTTCCATTGAGTAAGTCTGTTCTCAGCCAATGCCCAAATATGTTAGAGGCCCTGTGCTACTGGAAGTGGCATCCTTTAAAAATATGTTAAATTGAAGTCATGGCTACTTACAGTCATTAAAAATATCCCAAGGTTACAGCCTATGGCTGTATTACCTTTACTGCAGAGTTTCACCCATGATCTCGGGGCAGCTGGGGCTGGGGGGGCTGGGGGCATGGTTGTGCAGCTCTATTAGTGCAAAACTGCTACAGATCCAGAGCTGGTGGGAGCCCACATACATTGTCTTGTCCTCCAATTGATCAGCCCAGGTTCAGAGGTGGCCTTTTTCCTGCCAAAGGGTTGGGGGGAACCTCAGCCCTGAAAAGTGATGTTCTAAGTCTCTCTCTGAGAGAGGATCCCCTGAAGTCACCCTGTGGGTTTTTCCACGGAAGGGATGATCTTGGTTTCTGTTTTTGTACATAATTCTAAAACGAATTAAAAGCATGAGAGCAGTTTCTTCAAGCAGAGATTGCAATACATGTGCCCCTTGGCTGTCCTTCCACAGGATGGAACCAGTTTTCTTAAAGGGGCCATTGGTGCACCAGGAGCTCTATGCATTATATAAAATTAAAAAAATAAATGTTACATTGCAGAGCTGATAGTCCATCATGGAGTTCTGGTAATTAAACAGAACAAACAGTGCAAAAGTTTATTAGCCTCATCAAAACTCCTCAATGGAATTACAGTCCTATAATTCACAGCTGCCTGTTATTTATTTGATATATAATATACATAACAGGTGGCGGTGGGAAACTACACTAATCCTCCCTAGTTGAACAGTGAAGTGAGGAGCTATAACTCAGGTATGCAAAGCTCTGAGTTAATTATTTGCTTTCTCCCTTCGTGGGTGAACCAGTAAAAATAAAAGTAACATTCAAATTCCCACTTATTATATAGTATATACAAGGTGTTTCTCTCTATATCTATCTATCTATCTATCTATCTACCTACTGCTAAGAGTTCTCCCATGCAGGCATTTTTGCTTGCTTCTGACTTAGGCAGGCATAATGCCTTTTGTCACCATTGATAGGATATTGCAGCTGCTAAGGCCACCAATTCTCAGAGCTATAACTTTGCCCTTTATAGATCTCTCTCCCTTTCTCTGTGTGTGTATACACACACACACACACACACACACACACACACACACACACACACGTCAAAGTTGTAGCTCTGAGAATTGGTGGGCTTGGCAGCTGCAATATCCCATCAATGGTGACAAACGGCACTATGCCTGCATAAGTCAGAAGCAAGCAAAAATGCCTGCATGGGAGAGCTCTTCGCAGTAGCACTTTCCGCAGCCTTTTTGAAGGTGCTGTGTGAGCTTCCCAGCATCAGCTTTTGAATGCTAGCCAGTGAGGGAGAGTGGAGACCTGTCCATCTTCGGGCTGGTCTACACTGGAGGGGGATCGATCCAAGATACGCAACTTCAGCTACGCAGATAGCGTAGCTGAAGTCGAAGTATCTTGGATCGAATTACCTGGGGTCCACACGGCGCGGGATCGACGGCCGCGGCTCCCCCGTTGACTGCGCTACCGCCGCTAGCTCTGGTGGAGTTCCGGAGTCGACGGTGAGCGCGTTCGGGGATCGATATATCGCGTCTTAACGAGACGCGATATATCGATCCCGGATAAATCGATTGCTACCCGCCGATATGGCGGGTAGTGAAGACGTACCCTTCCACTCTACTCAGAACACCACTTCAGAGGCCCTGAGCATGGCAAACAGCACTACAGCTGTGTAACAGGATTTGTAACAGGGTGGAAGGTCTTTTCTGTTGATCCACCCTGTTAGAACACTGTATAAAGTGATGAGTAAGTTTTGCTGACTAATAGAAAGGAAGGATGATGTTTAAAACAGTGGGATGGGAGTCAGGACTCAGGAGACCAGTGTTCAATACCCAGCTCTGCTACAGACTTTCTGTATGACCTTGGGCAAGTCTCAGTGCCTCAGTTTCCTGTCTGTAACATGGAGATAATACTATTTTCTTTTACCTACTCTTTGCTGTCTCATCTATTATTATGGGAAGACCTGCATGGCACAAATTGTCTTTTATTTTGTTTGTACTGTGTGTAGTGCAATGGGGTTTTGACCTCAGTTGGGGCCACTGTAATAAAAACAATAAATAATTATAATAATCATTGCAAGAGGAATAGCTTGATTGTTTTACCAGGATGCACGAGGGGGGCATTACCATGGTTCAGGGAAATAAGGGCAGAGACAGGGAGATCCTGCAGGAAATCCTGAGAAACAGATAAGTGTGGGGAGAAATGTTCTGCTATTATTACTTGAGTTACCAATAGGGCCGAACTCCAGGGAAGGCATTATTTGGAGCAGGGTGGGAATGACATCTATTCTATTCTGCAGAAAGACTGGAGGAAAGAGACACTGTGCTCTCTTCCCTCCATCAACAGAGTATTTTAATAACCTATTTTGTCTATGTTCAAACACATCAGCTTATTCAATTGTATTAAAATATTTTGGTAGCAGCTATGTCATTGAACAATATCACAGCTACTGTGTTGTCAGGTGGCATATTTAAATTTTTCCTCATCAAAATTAGCATGAAATAATAAGGGCCACCATAAAAACACATTATCTATTGTTACAGGAATATTCAGTTCAGTTCTATTTATTTTTACATAGCATCTTTTATACAATACCCCAAAATCCTTAACTAAGAAATACAAAATAGCGCCATATCCGGCACCGCTGACATGAATGGGATTTTCACAATTGGCTCCAATGGGAACAGGATGAGATAATTTCCAGAAATGAATTAGCTGACTACAGTTGTTTTACTATTAATAAACACAACCCAACAATAAAAATGCACAAATCAAATTAAATGTTTTAAAACTAATTATGTTCAATGATACACTTGGACACATGAATTCATAGTGCTGGAAGTGACAGTGTGGCCACAACAGCTGCAGTAGATGGAAAAAACATTAGAAGCATGTTCTGATATAAAATATATTCCCTTTTAAGTCACTTTGTAAAAGAACATAAAAATAGAAAAAATGTGATGAGCATTATGAGAGACTTCCAACTTACAGACACATAGCTGGCATTGATGTAATCAGATCCTGGAATACCAGCATCAGCTATCAGCTTTACTCTGTTGTTATTATCTATAGCAGAAATAAAGTCTATTTAATTGAGATGTTTACTTGTAAACTATAGTGACATGCATCAGATGTTGCTATGATGCTGAGAATTCAAAATTAATGTTTACATTAGTTTAGCTAATTTTATTAAATCTACCTTGGCAAAACAGTACAGTAATTGCAACTCCCAAGAACTATTTAACCAGCCTGTTTGGTTGTATAATCACTCTCCTTCCTTGCTCTTTACATTTCAATGCATTTTTCTCATGATGATTATTTCTAATGCAAACGTCTAAGGCCCCAATCCTGCAATCTGAGGTGTGCAGGCCTGTTGTGCCTTTGCAGAGCCAACTGCCTTTGATGAGGTGGTGCAATGGTGATGCGGTCCTCTGTCTGGATCAGACTACAAGCCTGGGCCTAATCATTTATATTTGTTTGTTCTGTTATATTCTGCTACCACCAGGCCATGTCCTGAGGTCCTTATTGAGCTTTAACTCATTCTTTAGCCAGGCAAACCCCTAAAACAGGAAGTCGGCGTAAGTGAGAACTGAGTAAAAATTGAGGAAGGACCTCAGAATTTGGCCCATTATAAGTATATAGAAGTGATGAAAAATAGGAAAGATGTCGTGTGTGAAAAAGTTTCTGAATAGGTACATACTGAAATCAATTATCCATTTCCTGACATTTGCTTCTGCAAACCAGTAAAAAGAAAGGATATTATAAAACGAAAGATTTCTGACGCACTTCTGACAATACTATTGGGTAACATGAATATCAGTTTTTAGCAATTGTAAATTAGAGCACAGAATATGTGTTGAACCAGGCAGCAGATAACAGGAACAGCTGTTCTGTAAAGTTAATAGCACAGAATGTAGCTACATTAACAGAGGAATGCCATGCCCCCCATCTCACATCACAGTTAATGCTTAAAATAATAATGGCATTTCTTGTCTTATTAACTGAAAAATGAAGCAGTGTTGAGTACAGAGAGACAGACTCCTGTCTCCTGTGATAAAATCTAGCCTTGGCTTATAAGTTATCATACAGTCACTCTGATCTTCAATGGAACTCTTGCAGCATATTTGCAAGTAGCTGTAAGAAAGCATCACCAGGCTCCCATGGAAAACAAATGCATAAACATGTGGATTTTACACTTAACTTACTTTTAACTAAGGGGAAAAGTCCAGGAAGAATGTTAAAGAGTTTGCTACTTGGGTTAAATTACAAAGCTAAGAAACTATTCAGGCTAAAATTTCTTGCACCTGCATGTTAAAGCTTGTGAGAGCAAGTTGAAAGCCATTTACAAATAACCCTTACTCAAACAAGTGAACAAAAACAGATTAGTTGATAGTAAATTGTAATATAACATGTACATTATTATAGTAACTTATCTGAGAGACCAAATGAAAAATTCAGATGCATTCCAAACATACACTGTACTTCTACAGTTAGAGAGTAAAAAAGAGAGACTAGTTAGTAAAGACATACATGGCTTTATGTTTGGAAAGCGATTCTTAGACCTGTTCCAAGGCAGATCAGCATCAGTTGAAGCAAGGTCTTGAAGAAACTTGGGAAGTTCCTGTAAGATAATGTATATTTGTTAGAAAGCCTTTAAATTTGCTTTGTGTTCTGTATTACAAATGGATCAATAATATAATTTCCCCTTATATGGTCACTCCAGTAAAAGGAAGGACTTTTCAGTTCTATGATATGTTACACTTCTAAGGGCAGCTGGAGACACCGCAGAAGCATTTCACCTCACCGTCAACCCTAGTTACATCAACAGTGTCAGATGCAGAGCTGCAGAAAACACCATCAAGTTGAACAATTTAAGCTTACATGAACTTTCACCTTTAAAAGTCTGGATAAAGTCAGACTATCACCTTTTTGTATTTTTTCCTGTCTTTTCATGATGCCATATAATGTGGTAACAATGTCTTATGTGACTCAGCCTTACTTTTGAGAAATGCCTTTTCCTAATTCCTGTAGCTTGGGAGAGCTCTTGCCACAGCATGAGAACCAGTGAGCATTTAATCAAATAGAGACAACTGGCAATTAGTTATTGCTCACTGACCTGTTCCTGAGGGGGTTGGACAGAGTTATTTTGGGTTCAGTAGCAAGTGAATCATAGTTTCATAACTGTTCATGAATTCTATTACTCAGGGGCAGAGATAGATGAATCATTTGCAGGGAAGAACTTATTTAATGAAATTATATTATATATAAAAGCAGAGTTTCCTAGAACCTAAAAGGGTGAAGAGGAAAATATTCCATGAAGTCTGCTATGGGCCATCAAATGGAGACAAAATTTATGTGTGATCATTAATTTACCATGGTGATGGGCAATACAGAAAAACCCTTAGACAGACCTAATTTACCCACTTCCTTCTGTTTGCAAATTATGCACAACCAGACTAACTTTCATATTTTTCTTCATTATTTGATTAATGGTTTATATAAGCATATTTCAACCTATGGATTGCTCACAAATGATTAGCTGTACCTATTGTTCTAACTATTTGTTATTCATAATTTGCCATTTGTGCTGTGTAACTGATCACCTCCTTCACTTAATATTATTTCTGCTCCCTGGCTGAATTATCCCCAAAGCCAGAAAAGCTTTCAAGATAGCTGTGCCAACAACCTGATGTTAATTCTTGTCAAATACAAGTCTGCATGAGATTTCATGATAGTTTTCCCTTCTGTGAATATTCTTGTGACAAGAATTTCATGTACAGATATTCACAAACAGCAAATAATATAAATCATAAATAATGTCAAAGAGCAATGGTGTTTGTTATTCAAATTATTTTTCACAAATACTCATTTTAAGCATTCACACAGACCTACTTGGTGTCTTCAGTTATAGAGGACAACATAATTTACTGTACTTCATTTTCTTATTAGATTTTATTAATATTTGTAATAAAATATAAGAATTGCCATAATGAAACAAGCCACCCAACAATAAGCAAACTAGTCCATCTAGTCCAGTATCCTATGTCCAACAATTGTTAACGCCTGGTACTCAGAGGAGGGTTCAAAACCATCATAGTGTGTCATATGTTGTGCAATTATATTCAGTGGGAAATATCATCCTACTTCCAGCTAATGAGAGGTGTATGCCCTGAACCAGCAATACTGGATGGCCTTTATCATTTTATCCTAGATAGTACAACTGCAGGTGCTGTTCTTCTAGAAAGGAAGGATGGTCTTATGGTTAAGGCACAGGATTCGGCGTTAGGAGATGAGGGTTCTACTCTTAGCAGTGCCACGCTCTTCTTGTGAAATCACACAGGAGGAAATCACTGCAAAGAGCAATTAGGTGCTCATCTTCCATTGAAAGTCAATGAGAGTTGTATGACTCACTCCCATTTGTGCCTTTGAAAATCTCTCCCTTAATCTTCATAGGACCATATGCCTCTATACAACTCAGTGAATTTATTCACTCTCTAAGGTTAGCAATTCACCCTCTAAATTTACAAATCTCCTTACACATAATTGTTGACATTACCTCAATGTATGTTAAAGACTTAAACATCGTGGTTACCAGACACAAAGTTAATACAAAATTAAAGAAAATGCTATCACATGTTACAGAACACACATGTTAAGAAAGAGAATGGATTTAGCTATGGTTTCATCCCCTAATTAATAATGTCTGTTGTAAATCTTGCCCTGGATTAAACCTGTGGCCATTCCCAAAATTGATTCTTTCTTCATAGTCAATAGTGTTTCTCTCTTTTGTAAATAACATTTTAATTTATAAAACAGTAATGCCCTGATCTTGCAACTGGCTACACTTGGGAGGTCCCCTGCACCCAGGTAGAGCCCAGTTGATTTCTAGGGGTTGAAATCAGGATGCAATAATGGCAGGAAAATAAAGCTGGAAATGGACAAGTTATAATTTCCTGTATTCATAAAGGGTAACATTCTCCTCTCTTCACACAAATCTTCTGTAATTGGATTTTGTGTGGGAAAGTAAGCAGGGGTGTTGGGAGGAGGCATTCTCCCAAGGTCTATGGCCGTTTGCAGGAGTTTGGGCCATTATTTCCATGTTAAGTGCATATCCCATGAGACTGACTTTAACTTGCTAATTTGAGTCTGCAGCAGAGAGCCCTCTGTAGTGCAGAGGCATCCTGTGTTGCTGCTCTAACTATGCCCCCATGCCTTGATCTGCCCCATCACAGCTCTTAACTGGTGCTAATGGCCTTGTGCCAGCTCTCTGCACCAGGATGAATTTCACCCCAACTGATTAATTTAGCACAGGATAAAGATTATTTGGAGTCTCAAATTCAATGATGATTTGTTACAGAAGGAATGTTTCTCTGTACGTTTATAAACTTTACAGATAGTTCATTTATGCTGTATATATTAGATAACTTTTATGGGAATATGGGGACTTTTGTTGAAATAATATTTGGAGGTAGTTGGAGGTATTCATTAATAGCACTTAGAAAATATATTGTCAAATACTCACCATAACAGTATCAAATACTACACAAGCCTGATTTTGCATAGGTCTCAGGAGACATGCCAAACCTTTAGAAAACTGAGGAATCAGAAAATGGGTGAAGCTGGCCCACCACCAGTTAGCATGGCTCCTTACAGCCTCCTTGTCTGCACAGTTGACTGATATGCCCTCCACCAGGAGCACAACCTGCCCTGAGTGCTGGATGGCCTCAGATAAGCCATCTGGCAGATCTTTGCTACATATTGGACTTGGGGAAGCTGAAGTATAGTACAAACCCAAAGGGCACATAACAATTTTGAGTATGTCTACACTGCACTCTAAGCCTGGGCTCTGGCTCAGATTTGAGCCCAAGCCTTGCTTCTGTCCACACATAAGTCAGTCTGACTTGAATTAAGAAGCACTCAGGACCTGGGTCCTAGGACCATACTAGGGAGTGGGTCAGAGCCGAAGTCCTGCTGGGAGTTGGGTCCAATCCCTGTCATTTTGCAGTGTATCTGAGTCAGGAGATCTGCATAGTGCAGTATGGACACGTTAGCATGGCTGTGAGACCTAGGTCCAGCAACGATAAGACCAGATGTACAATGCAGCGTGGATGCTCAAGTGTGGGCTTGGAAACAACGATTTCATAAGCCTAGGTCCCACTAACCTGGGTTTACAATGCAGTGCAGACATACCCTTTGGTTAACTAAGAGTTCAGTTAATAATTTGGTTAAATTAGGTTTTTGCTACATGTATTTGTCTAAGTTTTAAAAAATGCTCATACTACTACTACTTGATAGAACATTACGGTTTATGTTAGATTTTAAGTCATTTCAATGCAGTAACCTTTAACCCTATAATTGTTGTGAAACTTTAATGCCTAAAAGGTAACATTAGAAACTTTCCAGTGATGAACTTTAAAATGTGAACATGTCATTGCTAGGAAAACTTTTCATCTGCTCAGTCATGCATAATATAATTATAATTGCTCCTGTTCTAGTGAAATAACACTTCTGCTCCTGAAAAAAAAGCTTCCTCTGCATTACTGCTCAGAAGAATTTTATGGTGCTTTTTTATTATTATTAAATCCAGTCCAATAAGACTTAAGGAGCATAGCCAAAAAGCTGTAGGAAATACCATTAATCTTTTCACACTTTTGTTGTTGTTCCCTGAGAAACTGAAATATTATAATCTAGTAGTATAAAAGTCTATTGTTTGATTCTTCATTTTTATAAATCCAAATAGTAAGCAATTCATGACAAATCTATAAATCCAAAATGGTAAAGTCACTGGAGATTGACAAATTATTTTTGTGATGGCAAATAACTGCATGTGTTAGACATGATGATGATAAAGATTCTGAAATAACAAAAAGAGAAGATAAAGTGTAAAAAGTAATTTAAATGTGATAGCCATAAAAGAGAAGTTACTTAAGAAAACAGTGAAAAGTTTAGTTGAGGTTTAAATGTAGTTTTGAAATTGTATATTTATTATATAGATGTCATGTGGGCTTTGAAAACTAATCATTTTTCAACAGGAGTCAGACGACTTGCCGAGTTACTGGCTCAAATGCTGCTGGCCACAGCCACATGAGCAGTTCCAGTCCCACTGAGGCTCTTCATAAGAGCAAGACAAGTAGGATTTGGCCTATTATATATAAAGAAATGAAAGTGTATGGCCCAGTCTTGCTCCCATTGAAGCCAATGACAAAATTCCCATTGACTTTTATGGGAACGCGATCAGGCACTGAACCTTTCACAAAATAAATGTCAGCTATGTATATTGGGCTTTTATTCTTGGAGCAAAAGATATTGTTTAAAGTGGTTAGGTATATCTGAATGAAATCTGTATACAATCAGTTACAATCCAATACATATCATATCCTGATCTAAGCATAAAGATCTGATAAATATTTTTTTTTCAAAATTGAACAATATCATGATATGTAAAGCAAAAAAAAAAATTGCTGTAAACCAAATATTCTCAAGCTACGTGAATATTGCTACAATTTTTTAGAATTATCACTTTAATGTCACAATCTAGCTGACTACTGAGGATGGTTTCATGGCAGGAAGGGCTAAAGAAGATCATCTTCTGCTGACACACTAGGTGAATAATTCTGATCAGGTTGCAATGAAGACTGCACAACCTAAATCAGTGTAATATTACTTTCTAAACAATCAACCTAGTAATTGGGTATTGATTATCAAGGCCAGAATCCTTCATGGCCTTGCATGCTTAAAATGGACATGAAATGTGACACATGAAACGACTGGAGGTCTTGCAATGTTGTGACAACTGCTAGTAACATACCGAAAATTCTTCTTGAAACTTTAGGTTGTTGTCTGTGCAAAGTTCTTCAACATGTTGTAGGAAGGATTTCTTGCTTATTGGCCTAGAAGTAAAGACAGAGGAGTTAGACACATGTGAAAGTTGGGCTTTGGTTTGTTTGTTTTTCATTTAACCACTGGCTTATCAAAAGAAATTGTTATCCAGTTTAATAATAATTGATATTTACAGAGATAAAATAACATTATATAAATCACTGACGTGATTATTTGATTTGTTTAGAGCATTTCAAAATAAGAGCATCTTCTCGCTCAATTACTCCTCCTGATCTAGTTTTTAGCTTTAACATCCTGTTGAGTGGGAGTGTTTTTTAATAAATTTAGCATTCCGATGCAGAGTTTTGATATTAATGAAGTTTGTAAGGTTATCATTGTAGTCTAAAGTACAATAATATCTCTTTGTCGCCCAGAAAACATTTTATACATTGCAAAGTTTTAGACATATAAAATATTGCAGTGACCTCATTCTCATAATGACATGGTTTTTAAACCCCAAGGAGTTTAAATATCCCTGTATTACTTCCCAAGCTAAAACACAGACATGCAGGCTTCACCCCAGAGAGAGAGAAAGCATTTCTCCAGTTACCATGCAATTAGTCATGCTTTTATGATTTATACGCAGCTTGGAGTTTTTTCTAATAAACATAGAAAAAGGAGCCACACATTCACACTCAACAAACTAGTGAATTGATAGCCATAATATAAAAATCTTTAATCAACTTACTTGATGGATTTTCTATAACTAAGTAACCTGTAACAGAGATTGTGTTAAATGCAGTAAGTCGTGAGTCAGAGAATAGAGTGCATTCTGATAAGGCTTTAGATGCAAAATTTAAATAACTAAAGAATCAGAGCTAAACTAATTTCTTCCATGGATTGGGATAATATTGTATTTTAGATGTCTTGGATAACTGTGTTATTGAGCTCTTACTTTATGTATTTATAAGTATAGCTGATGCAGTTTCAGCCTATTAATCTCTTCAGATCATTTTACCAATGTTCTGTTGTAAAAATGCTTACTGGCCCAAGAAATCCACACATCAGGTACACTGCTTTACTTACATTGGTCATTCCATTGTTTTGCATTAAGGATATAGTATAAAATGAAATGTGTTAATGTCATTCTTTTAGGGGCAAATTCAGAGACTCATTGTCAAGCCCAAGTAGCGCGATGAGCATTTGGGTGATAAAGGAAACCTGCCTCCCAGACCACGTAGCAGCTCTGGGGATGCTCAAGAAGACTACTAAGTGCACAAAGCCCTTTGTAGCTCTAACATGTGCCCGTCTTTCAAATCTTTGAGTTTTATGACTATATAGAAGCTAAATGGCTAAAGCCAAAAGGTTTTCAAAAACCGGTGAGTAGGTTCCTAGCTCCATATTTAAGCCCCTATATAAGTGACCTAACTTCAATGGGAGTTTCGGAGTGCTCAGCAAATTTGAAAATCAGGCTACATATTTAGGCTTCAAAGGCCGATCCTACAAGGGTATTTCATATTGAGGCACACTGAAGGATCAGGGCCTAGATGTTCTATTTTCTTCTACATAGGTTCTTATACTGCATAACCGTAGTATGTGAGCACCTTCCAGAGGTGCATCAAGCACTATCAATTTAGGGACCTAATTTCAAGGTACTCAGATTTGCAAATCTTGCCTAAAAATCTCTAGCAAAGAAATTCAAAATGAAAAATTTTGGTCCTTCAAAAATTTACACCTTTAACATTTTTCTCTCTAAAATCGCATATGCTTGGAAATTAAACCAATTAAAATATATTTAACATATTTACCTCTGGAATGCTTTAAGTACTGTAAATAATCATCTGGCTTTCCTTTAATAATCTTATTAAGAATTTGGTTTTAAGAAGCTGTACTTTAACATTTTTTAGAAAATCACTGTCTCCTATCCTTTGTAATAAATATATTTTAGAAAAAGAGAAATGGAAATATGAACGAGAAACAAAAACAATATTAAAACAACTGCAGAGCCATATACTATTAAATTATCTGCATAACACTAGAGAAGTTAATGTCAAGGCTACACTATATGTGCACTGGCGACATATTTTGTGTTGATATGGTCATTTTCTCAAAACAATGTAAACTGGCTAGTGCAACCAAATTACAGGAAATCTGTATCCAAAATAAGGCTTACAAAGAACTTGATTCTGTCCCATTGAAGTTAAAGGGAATTTGGAACTGACTTCAGTCGGAGCAGGATTACACCCAAAGTGCCCAACCAGGACAGTTAAGGCAGAGGTACAAATCCAGAAAGGGCAGAAAAAGGGAGTGAAGAATGATAAAGCATTGACACCTTCTGCATGAACACAGAACTTCCCTGTGGAGTCTGTTCACACGTTTCACTAGCACATATTGTATTCTGGTCTTACTCTATGGCCAAGCCTGCATTTACTTGGCACATAAACCTTGGCAGCTTCACGGAGCTAAAGTTTTCTCAAGGATAGACTATTCTTAAATAATTACGCCAATGTATTGGGCACAGATGTGCTAGCCTTCGAACATCAGGCACTCCTCTCTCTTTATAATTTTATTGGACAAAATTCTTAGCAGATTCTTCAAAAAATGCTGCTTGCTCTTCCTTTATATTTGAATTCCCTGTCTCCCCCTTGGAGCAACGGAATAAAAGTCACATCCCAATCGACATCCCAATAATTTCTGAGATTCTGTTGTCTTCACTCCCCTGAAACTGCTTCTGTTTAATAACTTACTGCACTGGTAGTTCTGTCGTTTGGGATTTGACATTCAATTTACACATCACATGAGCATTCAGAATATGACACTTAGCGCCTTTGTGGTCAAGATATAGTGAACCCTACAGCCAAGAACATTGAGACAGGACCATCACCAACATCCTTTGCACTCTCATTGGCAGTGCAACAAGGGAAGTCAAGCACTGAATAGGCATGGAGACAAAATGTGCTTCCTTCTAGCTCACGTATGTGTTACTAACCAGAAGATTTCTATGTTCAGTGCTGGTCATCTGGCACCTTTCACAAGCACTAAATGTTTTTTAAGTAGTTGGGCTAATTGGGTGCCTAAAGTTTGACACTTACCTCCATAATTAGACACCTACATGAAGGGTCTGATTTTCAGAAGTACTAAGCTTTCACAACTCCCTACAGGGGTGATACAGAGGGGCTCAGCACCTGTGAAAATCAGGCCATTTAGTACCCATATGTGGATTTAGATGCGCGATCTGAGGCTTTTGAAACCTTGTTGTATAAGGAGCTTTACAATGAGTGAACTGTGCCATGATGAGTGTTCTCATCCAAAATAGCTCAATGGAGTTTTGCATAGCACAATGATGCTTGGTTGCAAACTTTCAGGGGTTTAAAAATGCAGCATATTTTTCTCAATATTTCTAAAATGAAACATTGTGATAAGAGGTAACAGTTTTATCTTCTTACAGTATTTTTTAATGTACAAACAGTAGTCTGCCAACAGCGCAGCTTCACTCACTTTCCAGTCTTCTGTATGAAACATCATGATGCAAATATCATCAGATCATGAAAAGTACAACTCATACTCAGACTGTAAAGTACAACTTCCCCTACTTCAACAGGATAATTTAACATTTCCATTTAAAGGGGGGGAAGTAAAGCATTCTCTAAGCTAAAGAACACGTTGTTGCTTTAAATCAGATTTTCTTTTTAAACAGTGTATTTTTTCACATATGGGAGTTTTTGAAGTCTATCAAAAATCTGAATCCCACTCAGATTACTTTTGATTTGTGTTGGCAATGGTAACTGAAGACCATATAGTCACACAGACTCAGCTTTCTCTCTGGGTCAATCAGTTGAAATCTATAGGGAAATACAACTTTGTCCAAATGGAAAACTACAGAAATGAATATGTAGACTAAAGGCTTAATTCATAAGCACCATTGACACTTGCTAGGAATAACCGAGGAACTAATTTTTAAAAAGTTAATTGAGACCTACATAGGGCTTAACCCTTCACGAGTGATCAAGGGCGATAGGGAGAGGATACCAGGCCCATTCCCTTCAACTGTACAGTGGCCAGGCAAAATCTTGGTCCTTGGTACACTAAACTGAGGGAATGTAGCACTGACAGTTGCACTAGAACCTCTATAGGGGGCATGCAGGGGCCATGATAGCACCCCTCAACCCCATCCACAGAAGAGCTGGGCTGGCATGGGGAAAGGGAGAGTGTGCCCCATATCTTTTAAAGGATATGACAGATGCTGCTGTTGTATGTATGTCCCCCCATCACGTCACAAAGCATTGTATCTGCTTCAGGCACAATGCATCCAGGAACTGCTGCTAATATGAAGACCCTCCTGACTTATGCACACATCAGTACAGACAGGGACTTAAAACCATAACCTACTCCTGTCAATCCAATCTGTCTGGGTAAATGTCAGCCAGGTACTTTGTGGGTGGAGAAATGGCCTTTTGTTGCATATTTGTAGTGTCTAGATCATTCTGTGTGAGTTGTGTGCCAATGTCAGTTGTGGCAAGGTGGCTGCCACACATAAGGTAGCTATCATATGAGGCATTGTTGGGTAGAACATCCTTTGAATGTGCAATGTTCATACAGTACTTTCAGTGGATGCCTCAGCAGATCTCATAGCCCTGATGCTCACACTCCTCTTACATATGGTTTGCATGGACGGTGGGTGCAGTTAAAATATTTTGTTTTTAATCTTTTTACTGGTAGATAAACAAGATTTTATTAGTTTAAGTAGGTAATCCCTACATGTATAATGAAGAATACTGCCAGAACCAGTAATATTGTATCTACTGGTAAACAAATAAAATAATTCTTTGTAGGCCAGATTCTCTGTTCCTGTGCAGAAATGGAGGAGTAAGGATGGGACAATGGTGGCTTTAAGCTACCCCTGGATCTGCTCTATTCTTGACTGTGCCTCATGGGTACTATAATTTACACTCAGTTGTAACAGCCCCTCAGGGCCCTTCTGCAACCAAGAATAGCTACAGCACAATATTCTCAGGCCATGTCTTCTCCTTTCCTCAGAAAATGCCTGGCATACCTCCATGCCAGGAGGTGCAAGGGATGGTAGTATTCCCTAAGGCCCATTTTCACCAGGTTTACAGCCTCTTTACATCACAGACATGTGCAGGGACTGTAAATGAAGAGAGAATCTGTCCCTTTAACTGGACTGTAGATCATGACAGTGTTGATTATGAGAAAATGCTACACGGTCTGTGTGATAAATTGGGGATATGTCTGTGTCAAATTGTAAATGCCATCTTGTTTGTGAATGCCATTTTGTTCCTTGGGCTCCTCCTGAGAAGCTGGTACAGAGAAATCGAGTGCCATCAACTCTAAATGTCGCTCCACTACCAAATCCATCCACAAGAACAATGAACTCTCTACATGGGAGTTTGGATGGGAGCTGGAGTGGAGTTTCTCAGCCTGGATAAATGACCAAAAGGGTCAGAGATTATATTTAAGTGGGACTTCAAGTGCTTCCAAGAGTAAAATGCCTGTGGTTATGAAATTCCTTTGCTAAGTCTGCATTCCTTGCTTGCCTGCCATGTTGTCCCTGAAGGAGTTAATCAAGAAGTTCAAAGCACCCACAATAAAGTGGAACACTGAGGGAATGTGTATAAGCAACTGGGGGCTCAGGAGGACTGTGACACTCGTTTTGGGGTCTAAGGCAGCTGGACTAGAGAGTCCCACTGCCCAAGTAGGGTGTCAGACCCAGAGCTATGAACAATGACCAGTCACTAGCCAGACCCAGGGGGTTTAAAAGCACATAGGATCTGGAGGTTGGTTCCACTCACAGCAGATTGGTATGCATCCAGATAAGTGGATTTGGCCAGGTTGTGAGAGGCTGCAATAAACAGGAATTGATATAATCACAGGTGTACATGTGCTTGGTGAATCCATTCCATGTTTCTACCTAGATAGATGGGCTTGATTTGATTTAAACAATCCTTGATCTGTTCAGTTCTTGCCTGCCTCATATCACCTAAGGAGATTAACGTGTCTCCACTACTCTCTCATGTTAGTATTTTAGCAATTATTCCCTTCCAGCAAGTTGCAAGAATCTGGCACATATGTATCAGATATTAGTGAGTTGGTGTTAGAGATAGTCAGAAACTTTTCTGAGGCAACTTTTTTTTTCAGAAAAATGTTTATTCGTCTAAACCTAAACTGCTTGTTGAAAAGGTTTGGGTTTTTTTTCTTTGGTTTTTTATTTGTTTGAAACAACTTTGTTATGAAATGTTACTTAATTAATATTAAAAATGTTTTTGAAAAGGTTGAAAATGAAATGAAATACTTTGATTTGCCAAAACCAATTTTTTTTTTCAGTTTGTTGGTTCACAATTTTTTTTTGAGATTTTGACTTTTTGGCCCAATTCTGGGTGGGAAAAAGTTTTGAAATCTTGGAAATTTTCACAAGATGGGAAAACCACTTCTCACCCTGTCCTACTTATTATGTGGACCTGTTCCGCATGTTCCTGACTATCTGAGCCAAATAATCTTCTATGCTAACTTACATCAAATGATGTATGGTAAGCCAGCTGACAACTTGCAGAGCACTGTGTTGTGCAACACACCCCTACACAGAAATGTGGGGGAGGGAAGAGTGGGGATAGGTGGTTGATGCAGGAACTGACTGTACATCAACTAAAATTTCCCCCATGGTGAGGGAATACTTAGCTAGCCAGTTACAGAACACCGTTTTTAGTGCTTCACATGATATAGGATAAGCAGGAAATGATACATTTGGACAGATTCCTTCCCCAAACAGGCTCATTTATGCTGCTTAGATGGCACAGATGATCTAGAATCTGGCAGTAACTTGCTAAGTATTCCCTCACTATTTGAAAAGCTGTGGCTGGGCAATTGACTCTATGCATGTAATAATTGAACCAACTCATGACAGTGAGGAAGTGCAGAAATAGGAAGTAGTGCTATATTTTGAACGTGCAATTCATTTGTGATGGTCTCAGTGTAATCATCAGCATGTAGCATAAGAATTTAACATGCTAACATGACACCTTTACATTCCATATCACTCTTATTATATCAGAGCCAGAAAGTGAAAGTGCCTCAAAATAAAGTAATTGGTAGGGTAACTAAAACTGCTGAATTACTGCTCAGTAAAGTCCTTGCCGTGTATAAATCACTTAACAAACTGCACATAAATATGAAATATTACAATTTTGTAGCCTAACCTGCAGGGTTTGATGTTGTATAAATCCAAATTGGTCATAATTTAGACAGAGCAGTGGTAAAGTGGAATTCTCCCATGTAACATGGGATTTGACCCCCTGGAATTTTTGCTGAGATCTTAATGGGATGCTTTCTGGTAGCATGGACAGTACAACAGGCAGCTGAGGAGAAACAAAAGGATTTCTCCAGAATATGCAAATTCTAACTCTTGAAGAAAAGTGTAAGGCCCAGTTTTGAACTCCAATTGGTACATGCACTCTAATTGTGCTGTCTACTTTTTGTATGTCTGCTGAGGTGAGCCTGACATAATTTCTGTTAAAAATAGCTCTCCTTTGTTTTAAAATAGTTGCAGACTTATAGTGTCTTAACATTAATCACTGAGATCAAAGATGACATGTTGACAAATACAATCATTTGTCATTAGCATTACCATATAATAATATAAGTTGCTAATACTAATTTCATTTTCATTACCAAGAACACACGTTGCAAAATTATTTACTTTGGACAAAGATCAACAAAGTATAGTAGCACACAAGTTACACAACATTATGGAAATCACACCAGGTCTCTTCAACAGTTCAATAACTTACTGGATGACAAATATCTCCTTGCGTCTAAAGAAAAATGAGGAGTATCTGGAAGTAAAATCCATTAATAATTTAGTACACAAACAAAAATGATATTGTTCTATTTTGCTAGCAATTTTCAAATGTATACGCTGTAGGAAACTTCTCAAATTAATGGACAGGGACATTTATCTGGTTTACAGCTACAAAAGTGCAAAGGATTGTGTCTGTCTGTTGAAAGTGAACATCTCCATTACTGTTAATGGGTATTAGACTATATTATCTAAACAAAATGTGGCACAATGTCCACACAGGATGCATTGCATTCATTTGCACCAGAGGATTCTCAGTATGTTTGACCATGTGCTGTAAGTGGCCACTCTTGAATGCACACATTTGAACAGCTTTATAATGCAATAATCCTTTTTTGCACCATACACATAGCCATAAAACATTCAAAACAAACAGGTCAATAGTTACAGGCTTCTTCAAGCTACCCATAGTCTGCAACAGTAGGGTGCTTAACTCCTAGGGCAAGGTAATCTTAGGCTTCCAATCTTTAAGGAGATTGCCTGCCACAGTGCTTCCCATTCTATGTGCTGTGTGACAGAGTAGGGAAAATACAGCCATGTCAATAATATTTATCCATCATTTGCTAATTCAGTCATAGCCCACTGTTTAGAATTTTCATGATATCTATCCGTGGAATAATGTGGCAATTTCTGACTACCAAAAGGAACACAGTACCGCTTCCCTTCCAAACAATACATGGGGAAAGAGTCTCTGGCACTCTGTGAAAACCAAGGAAATCTGCCAGCTGAGTGGCCTAAGGCTACCACATGCTTCTCCAGGGCCTGGGTGTATGGGTGTGGCCAGAGTGTTTTCATGTTCCAGAGAAACTCAGCTGCAAAATAGGTCCCCTTGTGCTAAAACATTTTCTAAATGTCAATTAAACAATGACTATGTTGTTACTGATTGAGCTGAAAAAGACACGGTTTAAGGGTTTGGTTCTTTTGGGATGTTTATAAGTTTGCAATCCACAGAAAATAGTGAGCCATCAAAATACTGAACAATTTCCCATGTTTAAAAAATGCAGCTCCTTTTGCCATCAGAATTAAAGGATGATTTGCACTTAGAGCTTTATCTTATTGTAACTTAGATCTTTATCTTATTATAAAAGATGTGAAGATTAAGTAATATTCTACACACTAGTCAGAGGTGTCTGGAGGATGGAGGGCATCCTTTGAAAGAGGATCTTAGTGGCCTGTGTAAATAACACCACAAACACTTCCAAACAAGCAAAGGTCAGAAAGGGGTCATGGCTACAGACTACTGCTTCGCCTAAGGAGTATTCTTACCGAGTAAATCTCTCATCCTTCAGTTCCAGGTCTGCCACTGTGATCAACTGATCCAGTTTGAATTTAGTGTCAATAATTTCTGCATCCCGCGGGGAGTAGGTGCCTCCCTCTTTTTGCTTTTGTCGGATTCTAAACCAAAGATCATAACAAAGTTGAGAGTGAATGAAAAAGAATATTCAAATGATTTATTAATTACATGTGAATTAGCAGGATAGAAGGATAGATTCAGCCTTTCATAGAACTAGGAGTAGAGAAGCTCTAAAAAAACGATACTTCCATTTTTCATTCTGTGATGATAACAGCAAAACCAGTAACATTTTACCCATCTCTTTGAACATTTTTGTCAGCATGCATTTTAGCCCCATTTTACTGGCAAAATTCTGACAATGGAGAAAGTTTGCCCCAGAAATTATTACTACTTGGACCTGATTTTCCTCTCATTTTCACTAGTGTAAACCAGAAGTAATTCAACTGAATACAATTGAGTTATACTAGTGTAAAATGTGTGTGAAAAGAGAATCAAGCCCGTATACTTAACTCCTGTGTAAACTCTTGACCTCCATTTCTTATTTTCCTTCAATGCCCTAGTGAACTAGCAGTGGCAGCATAGCACCTGTGGCTAGTGAGCGAATGAATGTCATTCATGCAGCAGTTTGCCTACTTCTTCAACTAGGCATCTATGCATGCTATAGGTTACCTCACCTAGCATCAGATTTCTGATTTCTCAAATACAGGTGTAATTCCAGACTAGCTCCATTCACTTCAATGGAACTACTCTGGAATTTCACCAGTGTCACTGAGAACAGACTTTGACTGGCTGACTTCAAATCAAGCTGCTCACCCTCTGTAATGGATGATAGTAAGTTTCTATATGATAAAAAATGGTATTAAAATGCAACATAATTTAAGGTATCAGGCTGGTTGCATATGGTTCTATGTATAGGATTTATTTCTTCTATATGTAAAGACATATTTGCATACAGATGAAAAATAATGTGTAGTGTTGTATATACAAAGAAGTCTTACCTTGCAAAAGCATAGATTGCCACCACAAGAAGAATTATGGAAAGTATACACAAGGTAACTGCAAGTATTATTTCTACAGCTCTTTCTGACAGTCCCTCACCTGCAACAGAAAGTGGGCAATACTGGGATTGAACATTTGAAGAACAAATATCTGAAGACTGGATTGTCCTTTGACTACTTTTGCAAACACAAGGGAATCAAAACCAGCACATTTCTTGGGTGAGGGTGGGAGAAGGCAGAGTTGGATGAGGGAGCCCTGTGCTCCCTTTTTCCTGGCAGTGAGTAGGAGCTCTTCTGCCAAAGCTCAGCAGTGTCTGGACATCACAGGATTTTAGAAGTGGGACTGAGAGTGGGTTGAGCAGAGGACCAGCTGCAACCTCACCAGCGGCTGAAACCATGTAAACCCAAGCGGCATTAACTCCTGCTGGGTCCTCCTCTGCAGCTGCCACCATGCACCTTGTGACAACACAATAGATCACTGCACAAGGCCATGCTTAAAGGGTAGCCCAGTAAAGTAGCATGGATGAGTCTGTTCTGTCTTCCCCGTGGAAACACTCCGCTTTCATGGGGGTAGGCCTTCCCTTACCTGTGGAGCCCCAGGATCCATGAGACTGGGAAGCAGCTCTCCTTGTCTACTCTACAAACCTTCCCAACCTATTGATTACCTAGAAACTTGGTGAGACCAATCTCACTGAGCTTCGTGGTCCCTCTGCCTTCATCCCATGGGCCTCTCAAAGAAAATCGAGTTCCAGGTATTTCATTCTGAAGACTTAGTAAAATAGGAGGCATTTATGGCAATGAAGCCACATCAATTTACACCCAGAGAGGATGTGGCTTGTTGAATATTTGAAACTAATCCAGCAACACTTTATATGAAAATTCCCAGATATTAGTGGTCTTAGATACACAATATTAAGGCATTCACTGAATGTTAAATAGACACCATTGTTTATTAAAAACTTCTTGAGGATTAACGTCTACTGTACATAAAACAGCATACCAGTAACTGCATCATGTGCACAGAGTTTTTGTCTCAGTTTTCAAATGTCAGCTAATATTTTACAAGACTGTAGCAATTTTAATAAATTATCAAATATGTTGGCGTTGGGGTCCTCACCTCTTTAAATAGTGTGGACCAGAAAAATTTATTAGAAAAATTGTGTTTGTGGCTCATTTCCACACCCATTTGCAATTCCACAGCCACCTCTCCTCTTATTTGCAATCATATAAGAAGCTACCAGCAGTTGCTTACACGGAAAATGAATATGAGGAAAGTATTTAATGTAATTTTAGCTTCCTTTTAATGCAATTTAGCAGTTGAAAACAAAGAACTAGCACCATGGAACCAGCCAGCTCCTGCAGATTATGACCCACAGGTTGGCAACTTCTTCTGTAATGCAGATTGAAAGTTATTACTTAGTATATCTGGTTGTATTTAACTGATGGTAACTGCACAGGGAATATTATCTTCTTGAGATAAACATGTAATTCTCCTTCATGGCACCAGTTATGATGGAGATTGGATGAAACCTCATTGATGCTGGTGGGTTTGATAGATGCCCTTCATTCAGGATAAATGTAAGCAACAGTTTAGCTTCTTCTTGGAGCAAGATGAAACAACAGGAGTCACTGGCCAAAACACAGGCCCATGCAAGGCCAGTCAGAAGCTGAGCTATGTGGGCTGATGGGGCTAGCTAGGAATTGAATGTACAGGTGGCTAGCACTGTTTGGTGGAGGGCTGTGTGTATGAGCAGAAGCAACCAGAAGTATCGAGGAGCAGTCAGAGAACAAGCAGAGAGAAGCAAGAAAGCCAGGAAAACAGCAAGAGAAGCACTTGCAGCATGACTCTGTGGGTATGTCTATACAGCAACTAGACAGCCAACTCGGGCTCACAGGGCAGGGCTGCGTGGCTGTTTCACTGCTGTGTAAACGTCTGGGCTTGGGCTGGAGCCTAAGCTCTAGGATCCTGCAGGGTGGGAGGGTCCCAGAGACTGGGCTCCAGCCCGATCCCAGAAGTTTACACAGCAATGAAAAGGCCTGCCAGCCCAAGCCCTGTGAGGCTGAGTCAGGTGGTATGGGCCAGCCGCAGGTGTCTAGTTGCTGTGTAGACATCCCTCAGAGAAAGCCAAGAGAGGGCTTTTTGAACAAAGTGCTGGCTGGAAAGAGGCTTGGAACTGTGCGCAAAAAAACTGTCTCCTGTTGTTCAATTCCTACTGTATTCACGGAAACAGGATTTCATACATTCTTTGTGAATTAACAGGATTGCATCACAGAAATACCTGAGTCCATCATCTAATTCTCCTTCTAATGGAAACAATCTGCAAAACCCTGTACAATGGTGAACCTCTTGGGTCAAAAGGGTATCAGGTCCCATACCAAAGTTTTGGAACAGTAATATAAAATCTGTTTTGCTTCTAGCATTTGCTTATTTATATCACTAATAAAAATACTGTAAAGCAGTAATATTAAACCTTTGGCTCTCTAGCCACATGTGCAGTTCTTCACAGATGCTCTTTGGGTTTGTCTGCACTAGACTTTACCTTAAGCTAATTGTTTGTTAATTAACTTGAGATAATTAATACCTTTGTAATGGCTAGTGTAGACACTACCAGCATTGGCTGAACCCTCAGGTAAACTACAAATATGAGTAGCCTGGAACAAATGATTGGGGAATGTCCAGAGTACAGCTGTGTGAATAACAGATTTTTTTGTCTTGCTGGCCAGACTGAAAAATTAAAAAAAAAAAAATATTTCAGATCAATGAAATTTGTTCAAAATGTTCAGTGAACCAAAAACTCATGAAAAAATTGTTCTGTTGAAACTGAAAGAAATGTTTTGTTTCATTTTCAATTTTTTAAAAATGTTTTTCAATTTTTTAAATAAAATTGAAGAACATTTTGAAAGGAAAAGTTTTTTTGAATTGAAAAATTCTAAATGATTTAATTCAGAAATGTTGAAATGATACATTTCAATTAAAAAAACTGACTGAAACAATTTCCAACTTTGACACGAATTCACAAAATGTTAACCGTCGATCCAGAGCTGCATTTTTCATCAAAAAAATGTTTTGGCAAAAAATTCCACACAGTTCTTCTCCACACTAGCTTTCACAAAGATGTTGACTATCTTGAGTTAGTTGCCAATCAATTAATTCAAAGTAAAAAAAAAAAAATCTGGTCAAGACAAGCTCAAACAGAGCTGCTGATGAGTGCTAAGTAAATGAATTAGAGTTCCCGGAATCCTGTCTTGCTCTTCCACAACCCTCCACAGTGGAGAAACTTTCTTCCTCCTAGCAGCCAGGAAGAGGTTTGGAGCAGGGGAGAGGATGTGGAGGTGGCGCAGTAGTGGGAGAGAGACAAAATAGAGTCATAGCAACAAATGACATTGTGTTGCAAAATGATTTTGATCTGCTGTCACATCAATACATAATTATACTGATTCACAAAAAGAGGCAATAGGTTAATGCAAATGTCACATTGTGATTGTGTCATCTCTCTGTGGCCTTGACGTCACTATGAAAAAGTGTTTTTGCTTTGTTTTGTTTTTACCAAGCATAAACTAACACATGGTAACAAACACGTTAAAAATCTGGTGTGGACAAGGCAGTTTGTAGTTTTCACGTGTTAGCACAGGGGTTCTCAAACTGGGGGTCAGGACCCCTTGGGGATCACAAGGTTATTACATGGGGGGGTCACGAGCTGTCAGCCTCCACCCCAAACCCCGCTTTGCACCCAGCATTTATAATGGTGTTAAATATATAAAAAAATGTTTTTAGTTTATAAGAGGGGTCGCACTCAGAGGTTTGCTATTTCAAAGGGGTCACCAAAGTTTGAGAATCACTGAGAGTTAGCAGGTGGAGGTAAACCCTAGGATCCCCCCAATTGTTTACTGCCACTGCTAACAGGTGAAAACTACAAACTGCCTTGTCCACACTAAGATTTTACCACAATGGTCACCACGTGTTAGCTAAAACATAGTGAACCCCCTACCTTTTTTCCTAGTGTGGATGCATCCTTTGTGGTATAGCTATGACTAAATGACTCCCAAGCTCTTTCAGATTAGAATAGTGGTATTCACAAAATAGTTGAGAGGAGATTATATACTAAAATCTATTGTGCAGTTTTGTGTAAGTGAGGAACTCCTGCTAAAAACTAATTATTATGCCTGCTTGATTTGGCCAGGCAAGAGCCAGCTGTGATGCCATCATTCCTGTGGAACCTTGGCACAAGGTAGTATTGGCACTGAAAAAGAGATCAGGAAACCCTAGGATTTAGAGAATTTACAGTGCTGTTTTTTCTGATTTCATGTCATAGTAAGGGCAACCAGGTCTTGTCCAATTGTGACACATGCCAGAGGAGCAAGTGGTGCAATTTTCAATAGTGCAAGTACAGTAGGGACTATAATTAACTACAGTATTTGCCTGTAATGCATTTCATTCTGTGCTTGCCCCGATGGTTTCTTTAAGCCATTCAGGGGGTTTCTGGTGCACAGGTATCTAGAAGGGGAAAGGAGGGGTTGCAATTGACTCCTTTCATAGTGCCCTATCATGCTGACCCTTCAGAGTATTTGCTTCAATGACTTTGAATGTCAGAGATTTCTAAGGCAGAAAGCAGCATCTGTAGTTGCTTATTTTTATGTTTTTTGAGCATTCAGGTTCAGGGAAATAGACCATTCAGGTTGGGCACTAGCATTTGGGTACTTCCAATATGCAGATGGGGGTAATAAATGTGACACTTCATTTTCTAAGACAGATCAGGTGGGCTGGGGATCTCAGAGGGCACAAGATGAGTGGACAGAGGAGGAAATATGCCCAGCAGCAGCCCTCTGCTATTATCTGGGGACTTCTACAGCTTGTTTGGGTTCCCTTTTCCAAGGGATGGTAGTTTCCTAAGTATCGGTTTACTATTTTGTTAAAGAAACCTATCAATTTCAAGGGATCTGCCCAAAGAAGTTTGAATCTCACTCCCTCAGGATCAGTGCAGCTGCTGCAGCAGCTATGTGCGGTTTGGGGTTCCAACAACAATTATGCCATTGGTTAGTGACATCCAGAATTGTCTAGGTTCTACGTTAGAACAGCATTGGTTTAAGCAGAACCTTGCCAGCCAGTTTACGATTGATAAAAGTTCTTTATTTTGTTTGAACCTGAAGGATCAAGGGATCATGTCCATAGGATGGCTGCCAGAGGAAGGAATGGATCACAGCTGAGACTCATGAAGAAGATCATGCAGCTACCGTGGCCCGGCTTTGCAGGGCATCCTGTGGGAGGAATGGATTTCGAGACTGTGCACTCTTGAGGTTAAGCTAGGCCCACCAAAAGTTGTAGTTATTAACTTAAAAGAGAATGATCTGGTAAAAAGGAGAGGGAGCAATTTCATAACTTATCAGATGCTTTTGAAGTATTAAAATGTCTTTAATAAATTAAATTCTCCTTACCTAAAGTTTTGACAGGGTCAGAATAGTCTGAATCTGTAAACTGGCCTTTAACATTTGTTGCTCTGAACTTAAATCTGTAAAATAATTAAGTAAAGTCAGGAATCAAATATTTACATACAAGTTTTAAAATCATTCATTCAGTGAAGAACTAGTAATTATTCTTCATTTTGGGGGAAAATTATATGCAATCAGTATACACCATATAATTTAAGAATCCTAATATCAGCATGTTAAAAGTATACTGTAGATGCATGAAATGGATAGTACTTAGACTTGCTGAATTCAGGAAGAACAATCTTATGTTACTAAAACAACAAAAAAAACTACCTGTCAGTTCTCTCACATTTACAGTCCAGTAAAAAAAAAAAAAAAAAAAAAATTAAAATTATTAAAATTTAAAAAAAAAAAAAAAAAAAAAAAAAAAAAAAAATTAAGTATATGAAGATTTAAAACCACTTCATACAGAAAGTCCCAATGTGCCTATGTTTTCTTGTGAAGTCTTGTGAAATCACGTTAGACCTCGCCTTTTCTTAAATGGGCTTTAAAAATATATTACCTTTGCATTTTGTCTGATTGTCACTCATATACATGCATATTTTTGTTTAAACATTTTTATTGCTCAAACATTGACATAGAACTTGAATCGTATACTTACAAGTACTGCTTTCTTGGTTTTAGGGGGCCGTTGCAGATTTTATCTTCACTCCCAGGTATCATGCATGTAGTATCAGCACCTATAACATACATATCTTCTTTGCCACTCAGTCCTTCCTTTCCTTCTGTACAGGGTGGGTTTGGAAAGCCTTCATTTGTAAAATATGGCCTGGGTTTTTTGAAGTAGGCATCATACCACTTAGTAACATTTCCATCATGCTGAACTATTGTCAGAAGAAATTAATTATAAATCATTTATATCCTAAACAGATTGCAGTTAAAGAAGGTAAACCAATGGTTCTATTTTCAGAAGTGCTTAGCACCCAATAGCTCCCATTTAAACACCTCAATAAGTGACCATTTTTCAAAAGTATGAATGGTATACACTAGTCCCATGGGACTACTCATATGAGCAAATGTTCATTAGCAAAAGCTCATCATTTCAGAATTTGACCCGTACTGCCCGAAAGAAATTTACATGACTCATTCCTGCAGTAAAACAGTAATGTTATCATGGCTGCATTCTTCTAACAGCAACAAAATGGCTACAGAAGGAAAAACTGCTAAATGGAACTTTCAGATATTTTAATTTCACAGATACCGCATGAGTTATTTTTTAAAGACAATCATGAACAAAGAAAACGGATAAACCCTGAAAAAGATAACGAAAAATAGTGTATGGGCGACTTAAACCACCAACAGCACTATTTGTCAGCTGAAAAGGGTGAATGCCTTGGGCAGGTTCCCTGAATCCAGTTTACAGCATGCAGATAATGCTTCAGCTTTGGAGCAAGGAATAGTAGCACAGAGGTATCACATGAATGACTCCTGGGAGTATTACAATTGCTGCAGTAACTGGCCAAATGTCTCCCAACATTAATTCTGCATCACCCAATAAAGGCAATAAGGGAACAGAGTAATAGGTCAAATGCAAGAAACTAAAAAGTATGAACAATTACCAAAAGAACATAATAGCTTTCTCTACCTCCTGCTTCTGCAACAAGAACTTGTATCTTCTTGATAGGTCCATGATCATCATTATAGTAGCATACTGGCATTCTGATAGTAATTGTTGTAGCAGTAACAAGTAGTGTCCCGCTAGTATCAAAAACTGGTGTTGGTTTCTTATTAGGTCTTGGTGGTTCTGTTTTTAAACAAAGACAAGCCAAAATGTTTTGCTTTCTAATTTATTAATTAAAATCACTTAGTTCAAGCATGTAATCCTCTTATTTGGGACATTTTGGTGGACAGCCTAATGTCCTAATTAAGGCCTCAATCCTGCAATGGGGTCCTTGAGAGGGTGAGAGTCTGCCCTCACAGATTTCCCCCTTTGCAGGATCAGAGTCCAAGTGACTGGTTTGACAAAGAAAGAACACCATTTAAAAAAAAAAATCTGAGCCTCAGTTTTTCTATCTGCGAAATGGGAACAATGATTTTATTTGCTTCTCATGGATGTAGTAAGGTATAAGTACATATGGTTCTATAGTCTATTTCTAAATGTCATGGTGAGACATAACTAAATATTTGTAAAATGGTAAATTCTGATAATCTTTTTCACATTGAGTAGTACCTTATTCCATAAGTACTCCCACTGTTTTATTGGTGCTAATTATAGTGTATGGTACAATTCAATATCAGCAAGGTACTATGTAAGTACCAAATATCATTAATCTGTAGCAGAGGCAGGAATAGAACTCAGGCATTCAAGGCTCTCAGCCTTATGCTCATTCTTCTAGGCAATGGACAGGAGGGACACACATATATATGCACAAATTTACAGTAATTTCTTTAAAGCTTATAGGGATCTCAGCAAAAAAGCATTTTATTATGCATACCTTTAATATCCATAGTTATTTTTAGTTGGATTTTTGGCCCTGCACCAGCACCATTTATTGCATACACCTTAAAAAGAAATGAACACTTTATTTTATTGAACATTTGTGTTAAACTTAAATCAGCAAAAGCTAAATATATACTTTTTAAAGGAATAATGAATCCTGCAATTTTATATATACATAACATGACAAGACTGAAGGGTTTCAGTGATACCATAAACCTTGAGATTGTCATTCATGTTTTTCTAATTCAAGATGGAACTAGAACCTTAATTTATGAATATATGGAGCAACATTATTTAAAATATGTATTAAAATTTCCCTACTAATTTATCTCTAGCTCCATTCCCTTGTACTCTCGGGAACACACTATTACACTAACATGTCTCTCTACCTCTAACTCATTCCCTGACTCTCTTTAAATCCAAATTCAAGACTTATCTCATTTTCCTAGCCTATCATGAAATCCAATTCCCTGAGCCTCTTAGTTTTTCTCCTGTAACATGGTCTTTATATCCCTCTTGACTCCTGTCCCTCTGCATATATAGATGCTACCTGTATGATAAATTATGATTAAAATAATTCTATCTGTGTGTAAAGCTTGAAAGCATCATGAAGCATTTTGCAGTACTTTTGTATGAAAGACAATATACAAAAGTAAATTGGATACTATTATCTGATTCTCCTACATTTTTTTAAACTACATACCAGTGGACCAAATCCTGCCTTCAGTTATACCTGAGATTCTTTGGATTTACACCAGTGCAACTGAAAGAAGAATTTGGCCTAATTTGTTTATTCTTCCAAACTCCTTTGATATTGGCGAAATCAGAAACGGAGTAGATTTACTCTAAAAAATAATAATAATAATTTCCAGAGGGACTCTCTCCAGTACCTTCCTAGGTCATTCTTTATGCCATTCACTCCACTCATCTCTAAAATCCCAAGGAAAACAATATTTCAGTCCCTGGTGTAACATAGTTAAAACAAAGGGGGTGGGGAAACAAATCCAATCTCCGAACAATTATTTCCAGGAGGATTTTTACTCTTGGTTCTCCTCCCCTCCTGTCCTAATCCCTGATTGCTTTAATGGTGGGACTACAAGCAGTAATCAAGATTCATCTGTAGTTACTGCTTGAAGGATTGGGCCTTGAGGCTGAAACAAAAAACAATACAAAACAGAAGAAGACCTTGGGTATCAAAAGATAGAACAAAATGTTGTAGTTGAAAGTGATGTGCCAAAGACTGGCCTGGTGATCTAGGATCTAGTCCTACAAGGTGCTAGCTACCACCGGTGAGATGCTAAGTGTCTTCATTTACTACTGATTTTCCCCATGCACTTTATACCCTTGGTTACAATGCCAGGGAACAAAACCATATTCTGGGCTTAGGCCTGCACTCCTTAATTAGGCAAATCTGTTGACATCAAAGACAGAAAATTGTATTAAACCTTACAATGACATTATACGTATGTCCTCCTTTTAGCCCCTCTATCACTGCAGTGACCGATTTATTTGTTTTGTCAATGACACTTAGATTATGAATCTGGAAAACAGCAGGGTCATCTTCTTTGTAAATCATGGCTTGATATACTTGAATATTTCCATTGGGTTCAGATGATGGCACAAACGTCACTTGGAATTTTGTTACTTCATCTGGTATCTTCTGAAATGTTACGTTGTTAGGTGGGTCTTTAGGCACTAAAGGAAATATTTCAGAAATTCACTTTGAATTGGAATTTATTACTGTTATTATTTATTTATAGATTAAAATACAGAAAGGTTTAAGAAAAAATAATCTTTTGGACACCAGGATTATATCACTGCTATTTAATTTGTTTAATTAAAAACTATTATCCCAACCACTAAGTGCCTGTGCAAATATTATAATATTAATCTCACAAATAGCAAACATAATGATTAGAAGCCCACCATAATTAGCATCAGATCATAAGTAACCACCCTCATCTCTAAATCCACTGCTTCCTGGAAAGCCCCATGGAAAGCATCAGCCTTGAAGTATGCTCTGAATGTAACAAATCCTTGTTTTGTTAGACCATGGGGAGAGGTGTCAGAGTTGGGGATCCCTTTCTAAAAACACTCTGCCAGCACCAACCACCCTCACTACTTTTAACCAAGGGGACTGTTATATCAAGAGCCTCCGCTGCTCACAGCTGACACAGCATTGCCCAAGGAGAGGAGCAGTCTTTCCATTAACTGATGCCCAAACATACAGTACATAGGCCATGTCGACACTACAAAGTTAAGCCGACTTTATGTCGACACTGAGCCTCTGATTTAAGCAAGTCGATCTTGTGTGTCCACACTAGCTCATTGTGTCGGAAGAGTGCATCCTCTCTAGTGGGCTTGAACGGAGCACTGAACTGTGGGTAGCTATCCCACAGTGCATGTAGCCGAGTGGAATTTTGGGTTGGGTTTGCAATGCCTTATGGGACCAAAACATTAGCACGGATGGTTATGGGAACATGGCATTAGCCTTCCATGATGCACTTACCTCCCTCCCTCTGTCCCTCCCTTCCTGAAATCAACAGCAAACAAACGAAGCCTTTTTTCGTAAGCCTGGGTCACCCACGCAGACGCCATGGCAAGATAAGCACGGACCCGCTCAGCTGCACACTGGTGCTGTGAGCATTACAAACACCTCATGCCTTATCCTGTAGTATTTACACAGCTGATACAGGAGCAGCCATGTGAAACAATGTGATGCCACGCTAGCAGCCCTGCTGGAAGTCAGAACGGAGCAATTCGCAGTTGCTGGTGACAGTCACGCATCACTTTGACACAATTGAGTGCCATTTCTGGGTCTGGGAAACAAGCACTGACTGGTGCATCGTTATGCAGCTATGGGATGACGAGCAGTGGCTGCAGAACTAGAATGCATAAGGTCACTTTCCAGGAACTGTGTGAAAAGCTTTCCCCACCCCCGAAGTGCAGCAATACTAAAATTAGAGCTGCTCTGACAGTGGAGAAGCAAGTGGCGATAGTTCTGTGGAAACTTGCAATGCCACACTGCTACCGGTCAGTGGGGCATCAATTTGGAGTGGGTAAATCTACCGTGGGATCTGTTGTGATCCAAGTTTGCAGGGCCATTAACAGATTTCTGCTAAGAAGGATAGTGACTCTGGGCAACATGCAGGACATAGTGGATGGTTTTGCTGCGATGGGGTTCCCTAACTGCAATGGGGCGATAGACAGAACACATATCCCTATCTTGGCACCAGACCACCTTGCCAAAGAGTACATAAACCGAAAGGGGCCATTTCACTGACATCAATGTGGGCTGGTTGGGAAAGGTGCATGCATCTTTAGGAACACAGTCTGTTCAGAAAGCTGCAAGCAGGGATTTTCTTTCCAGACTGCAAAATAACCATTGGTGATGTTGAAATGCCAATCGTGATCCTGGGAGACCCAGACTATCCCTTGCTCCCATGGCTCATGAAGCCATACACAGGCAGCCTGGACAGCAGTAAGGACCAGTTCAACCATAGGCTGAGCAAGTGTAGAATTGTGGTGGAACGTGACTTTGGATGTTTAAAAGGTCACTGGCACAGTTTGCTTACTAGGTTAGACCTCAGTGAAAGCAAAATCCCCATTGTTATTGCTGCCTGCTGTGTGCTCCATAATATCTGTGAAACAAGGGGAGAAAAGTTTCCTCTGGGGCGGAGGGGTTGAGGCAGATCACCTTGCAGCCAATTTTGAGCAGCCAGACACCAGGGCAATAAGAAGAGCACATTGAGGGGCTCTGCGTCTCCGTGAGGCTTTCAAAACCAGTTTCAGCAATGAGCCAGAGTAATATGACACATATCTATGGTGTTCCTTACTAAACTGTCCCCTCCATTGCATTTTCTCCCCTGTAAACTCCACCCCCACCAACCACCGTGTGTTGAATGAATAAAGAGCCTTTTCTCCTCAATCCATTAAGTTTTATTATGCACACAAACACATAGAGACAGCAAGGAAAAGTAAGATAACCTAGGGCAAAAGGGCTGATAACACTGTGGGGGGAGAAACAAGGACAGCTTGCTTACAGATGCACTGCAGTAACAATCAAAGGTGTGGGAATGGGCGCCTTCTGGTCCTTGTACCCTCCCCTGGTGTGGAGTGCAAGGGATAACGAACTCCCCCTCTCCTCCGCCTCATAGGACGTTTAGGGGAGGAGGATGTAGAACTGGGCGATAGGCAGTAGGTTCAGCATAGGCTGCAGAGGGACTAGCATCCAGCTGCCTTTCTTGAACCTCAACCAGATGCCTCAACATGTCTTATTGCTCCTTCATAATCTGCAGAATCTTCTCCTGCATGGCACACTCTTGTTCCCTGCATGTTCTCCTGTCCTCCGTGTCCATGTCCAGGTTCTCGGACAGTATAATCCTCCATGCTCTGAGCTCCATCTTGTCACTCTCGGAGGCATGCATTAACTCATTGAACATGTCCTCCTGAGTCTTCTTTTTCTGCCTTCTAATCTGGGAAAGTCTCTGTCCTGGTGCCGACTCCCTGGGTTCTCTGGGGCTGGAGCACCCAGGGGGAAAAAATGGTGGGTACTGAGCACCCATCAGCAGCTCCCCTATCAGCTCCCTCGCTGCTCCCCAGTGTTTGCCACCCACTGGCAGGCCCCACTGATCAGCACCTCCCCCTCTCTCCCCACACCTCCTGCCTGCCGCAATCAGCTGTTTTGTGGCATGCAGGAGGCTTTGGGAGGGAGAGGGAGGAGCGAGGACGTGGTGCTCTGGGGGGGAGGGGACGGAGCGGGGACGGGAAGAGGTGGGGCGGAGGTGGAGCGGGGGCGGTAAGAGGTGGGGGGGCATGGCCTTAGAGGAAGGGGTGACATGAGGGCGGGGTCTGGGGCAGAGCCAGGCGTTGAGCACACCCCGGCACATTAGAAAGTCGGCGCCTGTGTCCCGGTGTGGAGGATGCGCTGACAGACAAGGTTTCGGCTGCAAGGAATGCAAAGCACAAGGGTAGCACTGACAGTGCATACATTGTTTCTGGTGCAAGGTTAATTTTTTAAATAAAAAAATCACCCCTCAATACACTTCCATGCAAGACAAAATGTAATCGCTGGCTATTACAAGGGTCGGTTTGCCACTCCAGCCCTGGTGAGTAAGGCCATGAGGCATGGGGTGAGGGGTTTTATGCTGCTGCTTTTGTGAAGACATCCTTGGGATCACAGGTTGGAACTTGAGAAAAGCCCCCTTTCCCCTAGCAACCTGGATGGTGCTTGAGGACAGGCACCAGTGTAAAGTCCCCCAAATTGTTTGTTTGTTACAAAAGCGGCACCGGGTCGGGGGGAAGGGAGACAAACAGGAAACCGCCACCCCCCCTTATTTTTTCAATGCTGCTTGCAATACATGGTGATCCCTTCCAACCAGAACCATGGGCCATTTGGGAAAATGTGGTTGTGTGACCCATATTTCACCAAATGGGGGGCAGATTACTTGTTGAATTGTTTGCAGTTTAAGGGCTAGCATTGAAAACTTCCCCTGTTTTCCTTAGGTGACCTTATGCGATATCACTCTCCTGAGGGTAACAGAGGCAGCAAGGGAGCAGATGCTGCAAGCGTCTGGGTGCAGACCTAGTCCTTATGCTGCAATGCTGTGTGCTGCAATGATGCCAGTAGAGTTAATACTGGAGTGGCACAGGAAAGCATCCCACCTTGGTGGATGAAATAAAGCAGTCCTTCCCAGAAACCTTCTGCAAAGGATTGCAGAGTACCTCCATGAACGCTTCCTAGAGATCTCCATGGAGGATTCCCGGGCCATCCCCGTGCACATAAACAGTCTTTTTCAGAGAGCACCCTCTGCATAGCTGGAGTGGCCACCGATACCCACTACACCTACTTTTTCGTTCAAATTAAACATAAAAAATAATAGCATGTAATCCCTACAGTTTGATTGGAAATGAGTACTCACTAGAAGTGCCTTCCCCAGCATCACACTCCGCCACCAACTGGTCCTGTGAGGGGATGGGCTCTGGGGTTAAAAACGGTTCTTGGCTGTCGGGGAGAATGGATCCTCCACTTGCCTGCCTCTTCTCCTCTTTGTCAACAATGTCCTCCTCGTTGTTGCTATCGGTCGCCCGGGGCTCCTGGGAGGTATCCATGAAGTATTTTGAGGTAGTGGTGGCGTTGCCGCCGAGAATCGCATGCAGCTCCTCATAAAAGTGGCACGTCTGTGGGGCAGAACCAGAATGACTGTTCGCCTCCCTTGTCTTCTGGTATACTTGCTGAAGCTCTTTTATTTTCACGGCACTGCTGCGTGTTCCTGGTATAGCCCTTCTCCTCCATGCCCCGCACGATCTTGGCATATATGTCAGCATTTCTTCTGCTGGATCAGAGCTCTGCCTGCAGACTCTTCTCCCCACACAGCAATAAGATCCACCACCTCCCGTGTACTCCATGCTGGCCAATTTGCGGCCTTGAGTCTCCATGATCAGCTGTGCTGGTGAGCTCTCCACACTAAGCAAACAGGTAATGAAAATTCAAATGTTCTCGGGGCTTTAACAGGGGACTGGCTGTTTCCTGTGTACCTAGCTGACGTGCAGTGGAGTTGAAAGTGCCCTCCATTCGAATTACACAACGCAGTGTCTACACTATCCCCATGTCGACCCATGGATGTCGAATCAAGCACTATGCCTCTCGTGGAGGTGGAGTACAGAAGTCGACTTTACAGGCCACTTAGATTGGTGGAAGGGACTCGGCAGTGTTGACACATACATTATTAGATTGATTTAACCCAGTTTATGTCAATTTAAGATTGTAGTGTAGACCAGGCCTTAGTGTTTTATAGTGAAACCAGCACTTTAAATTCCATCCAGAAATTTACTGGTAGCAGAAGCAGATCTCAGAGCACATTTATCATGCTCTTTCCCAATGATCCTAAGGTAGCCCTTTATAAAACACATTTATTCAAGTAGTTTATTCTCAAGGTGCAAAAGCAATGATCATTTAACCAACTGCTCTGTCTAAAAGAAAAGGCTGTACCTCTCTTTCCAGACACAGATAGAAAAGAAGTTGTTTTGCCTACTCATGCTTCCTGAGCAGCCAGGGATCTAACACGACCCCAAATTGTGAACTCAAGTAACCAAAGGCAAGCACACCTCAATCAAGGGGTCAGATATAATCTCTGCTTGCTTCCCAGCCCACAGATATCAACTCAGTCTTCTCTGGATTGAGCCTGTCAGCTAGCCCTCCTCCAAGCCTTAAACTCACTCAGATACCACATAAAAAGCTTGAGTATGAAAATCCAGCGGCAGCACTTGGCCTTGTTATGAAGCTAATCACACTAATTCTTATTCCTGGACTATTATTCTATCATTCATGTAGGTGCATTATCACCAAAAAGTAAATCTTTAAATTAGCCTTTTGATTCTTGCACATAATTGCTAACTGTGCCATGCGCTCTACAGTGCACCATTCATTTGATCAGAACACAACAATGTCCAAAATAGGTCCATACATCGATATGGGTTTCAGGGCTGCCCAGAGGATTCAGGGGGCCCGGGGCAAAGCAATTTCGGGAGCCCCTTCCATTAAAAAAAGTTGCAATACTATAGAATACTATATTCCCGTGGGGGCCCCTGTGGGGCCTGGGGCCCAGGGCAAATTGCCCCACTTGCCTCCCCCTCCCCCCCGGGCAGCCCTGATGGGTTTTCCTTCATTAGAAAAGAAGAGATTAAGAACTGTGACATTTACAGTACATAAATGATCATAATAAACACAGCATACATGCTTGAGAAAAGAAACAAGGTATTTTTAAAAGTGAGGTTACAGTCAAGAAGTTGACTCTGAAAATTTGGAAATTTAAAGACCTATCTTCATGGTCCATGGCTTGTCTGCCGAGGCAGTCTGTTCCTTAAATCAGAGTATCCCTTTAAAGTGTACAGTATTGCCCTGACATTAGATTGATTTCTGTCCACTACAGCCTCCCTCTGGCCTCCTTGTTTAGCTGTGCATCACTCTTACTCAAATGTTAAACAGGCATAATGATTACCCACCTCTGTAAAGCACTTTGAGATCGATGGACGGTATGTGCTAAGTATTAGCAGCATTTATTTTTACTGTCACTTGTTGTCTACAACCACACTTTAATATCAAGGGGAATTTACACAGCTTTATTGTGAGAGCAAAATCTAAAGATGTATTGAAAGTGTAGCTGGTATTCAGAATTTACATTTTCTTTACTGGATAGGTTTCAAGAAAAAAAACAGTGATGTTTAAGTTAAAAACACAAAAAACACTCACCTGCCTCAAATGTGGAGACAATTACTGAAGTACTAGACTTGCCTTCAATACGTGCAGCATTTACATCTCCTGTAAAAGCAGTGACTACTACAGAATATCTTGTGAATGATTTTAAATCTGAAATTTCCAGGGTTTTACCCTCGTAATTTGTCTTGAGGAATGAAGCTTTATAATCATCACTATCTACCTATTAAATAAATAAATAAATAAATACCACAAAAAGAGTACATTAAATTCACAACAATGAAATCATGCTACTCATATAGTGTATTTTATTTATAATTATTACCTACATACACACAGAAATATACAAGGACCCCAATTAACAAGACCGAATTGCAGCACAAGGGAGTAAGCAGAATAAGAAACACCCCCCCACCCCACCCATGTGGAACCACATTATCATTCCCCTCATCACAACTCCAGGCCTGGGGGCAGAGGAAATGGATGGTATGTCAGATGCCCTCCTCCACCAAGCAAGCCTGTGGGGAGGGGATGGGTAGAACATGGACCTGGGGAGCTATGCTGGTGGGAAGAGGAAATTCAGCTGAACCTAGTAAAGGGCTAAACTAAAGTTACTTCTCCTAGTGAGCAAGAAAGGAGCTCAGAGAGCCACAGTTCTTTCCCAGGTCTCCTTCAAGAGCAGGGCAGCTAGACACCCTGTCTTAGCCTAAAAACTCAATCAAGTGACAAATGTGGATGCATTAGCAGGATGGCCAAACCCCACATTTGGATAGTCAATTGGGCACATTTAAACAAAAATGCTGTTTCACTTGTATAAGTGCCAATTTTCAAAAGCCCAACCCTGCAAAGCCGTATGTTCCTGATTCAGTTTGCTGACAGAGATCCAGAAGATGGAGTTCTCATGAGCCTTGTGTGAAGGGCAGTGCACAGGATGACTGCTGGAGGAGCAGACCAGGGACTGAACGGTGACTCAAAGAGTCACAATTTGGTCCTAGATTTCCTCTTGCTTTGCAGGGAAGCAAGTGCACCAGCCCACTGCCTGTGGCAACTTCCTTCCCTCTCTGTGCCAGCTCTGCTGACATGTTGAAGGGGAAGAGTCAAGGCTCCACCAACTCCTGCCCATGCCCATCTGTACAGGAGGGGGAGTAGCAACTCCATAGAGACTGTTCTCTCCTGTGCACTGGGACTTGCAACTTGGGTAGCTTGGGCAGAGAAATAAGAAGACTGCCTTATGCCCTTTGCTCCCTTGTGTAGGCACAAACCACAGGTCATCATTAGACCCACAAATAGCCCCACTGAGGTCAATGGGACTTCTCATGTGTGTAAATGTACTAATGTGAACAAGTATTTGCTGGATCGTTCCCTAAGGATCAATACATAGTTTGTTTCCCAAAACTGGCATTGGTACATAAATGCACAAATCTATTTAATTTTATTTAGCTGTGACATTTTAATTAAACATCATATGAAAAAGTAGATAAGTGGAAAAGGAAGCTCTTCTAGTAGATAATCAAACAACATTTTATTAAGCCCCCTCCTTATGGTCTATTCCCACTATTATAACATTTTTAAATGATGTTTTCATTATTGTTCCTTCGATGTGTAATTTGAAGGAAAATTAGGTATCTGTACAGTAGTTTTCCCACTGGGTGAAATTTGTATTAAATGCAGCTGCTAAAACATTAGGATCATTCAAGCACACTTTTTCTTTGAAAGATGTGCCTCTATCCCCACTGAGGGTTAACCTTAACTAAAGTTTCTGATGCACTAAACAGACATTCGTTTCCTGGGATGACCATCAAGAGATGAGGTACTTTTTCATATTTTACTATCAGTTATATGGCATTTAAATATTTACAAGAGAGCTGTAAATACAATTGTTTTAATACAGGATCATTAAACTTTTCTTTATTTTTACTCTCCCCAAAAGCCTTATGGTCCAATTTTGTCTCCTTTACTGATTTTGGGTAGTCCTTTACTCCACAAATACTTTCAATGAAAACAAAGAATGAGAAAAAGTATGGTATGATTTATTTTGGGATAAGGTAGCAGAATGATTTTCTCATTTACTGTTCAGTAAAGCCCACAAAATTGGCAATTTAAAAAGAAACTCTGACTTTCAATAAATGGATGGAAAGTATTACTTTTTAAAAATTATGATGTGACAGAGAAGGGATCTGAATTTATTATGTCCTGTGAAAATATTTTACAGATCCTTAAGGAGCCTGATCTGAGAACTAAAATACTAAAATGTATGTAATGTTGTAAAATACAGAATGTTTGTGGAATTTGGAATCCAAATACACAATTTTCCCAGAGGGCCACCAAAATTTATACCAGTATTTTCACTGCAGACAGTCTATGACAGTTTTATTGGACTTTAAGTAGCAGTGGACCTGTCTGTATAATGCTATTCATTATGGAGATGACACCTGTAGCTACTGATCATTGATTAGACAGTACTTGATTACAAGTAATCGCTAAAATTAAATCTATAAATTTGAAACATATTCTGAATGTGAACATTTCCTTAAAATCATGTTTGGTTACTGACTGAATATTCAAAACAGCATTTTAAATTCCTGCTGAATATTTACCAACACGTTTGAGAAATCCAGTCATTCATTATAGCTTATTGGGTACCTTATTATAAATTATAGGTATAAGTATCAGATCAATATATCATGGTCTAGGACATGACTGCATCCCGCTCATAATTTAGGAACCACATATTACAAAGGCAGAAGGGAAAATTGTGTAAACAGAACTTGGTGGAATGTTTCACACAAACAAAATATTTGAATTTGGGGGTTTGGTGCTTCTGAAAAAAGGTGAAAGAAATCACTTTGGTGCAATTTTATGACAGTGTGTCATAAGTGACAGGAGGGTTTCACAAGTAAAATGTCTTTTCTTTTGTTGAAATCAGAATTGTCAAGAACTGTGCTCCAGCTCTTCTCTAGTCTCTTCTAATGACCTGCTCAAGATTTTGCTGAAGGAAGGAAGAGTTGTTTTCCTTTTAACACTTCCCTTATTATTGTAAGTCCTGCCGTCACGTTGCACTGCTGCTGTGATACATGGTCTACCACCTGCATAGTGTCTTGGGCCAGTTAGAGCAATAGCAGTGAACTCAGAAGAAACAGAAAGGGTAGAAGCATGTGAGCCCCATGTTGCCATTTCTATTTTATTGTGACTCTTGCAATATTTGATGTTTTTCTTAAAACCCCAGACATTGATTACCCAGGAATCTCAGCTTTAATTTGTTAGGTTTATAAGCAATATAACACCTTATTATTTTGTCTAAGACTTAAAGAAACGTCTGACCTTGTAACAAAGCTAGTTTCCCTAAAGTTTCACATTAACACACTATCAATATTTTCAATATCAAAGAATTTGCTCATTCTTAAACAAGAAAATCACCATTTTCTCAAACTACATTTTTATTTCCTATGTCCTAGATTCCTCCGTGCAAATGAAAATGTATGTTTTGGACATTCTGGCTTTCATTCCTATCCTGTTTATGTGTCTTGCAATTTCTATAAAACGTCTATATTCGTGTTATTCCAGATACCATCAAACATCTGTATCATTATCAACCAACAAGTAAAAATGAGAACTGCCTTACTGAGGTAATGTCTATGAGGTAGAATGTTGGTCCAGTAATAATGTCAGGTTCACTCCAACTGATGTTAATACTGTGAGGAGATGTAACTACTACAGTTACATTTTCTGGAGGACCATCTGGAGCTATGGAAAAAATGATACATATGTGAATCAAAGCTGAATTAGTTCACAACAAATAACACAGTATCTTGAGTCACCATAAAATAAGATTCACTTACTATTTGAAAATGAAACTTTTGTAACTGTATTATTATATTTGCCAAGCTGTTTAAAGAATTACAAACATTTTTGGTTCTGATTTATAAAGCTTTCTATGGGATTTAGACATCTTTTATTAAAATTCCATATCCTTAATGGAAGATGTGTCTAAATCTTCTAAACAGTTTTGTAAATCTACACCATAGTCTCTATTAATTAATATGACTGCTTTTACATGGCACATACAATTTCCACATGGGAGATGGACTATGTTTGATGCATCAGAATAAAGAACAACAACAACAAAAAATACTATCACAAGTTTATATGCATGTCAACAGGACTGGAAAATTCTTAACTTTGTATAGAGTACTGTTTTATAAAAGGAATGTTTGGTTTCCAGTTTATTTTTATCATTCTTTTTTTCTTAACATATTATGAAATACAGAAAAGTAAAGAGGGGAAAGGAGCTGTAGGACTTCCAGATGGTCTCTATTAAAAAATGAATATTTTTCAATAGTTTCCACATCATGCGGTGGTATGAATTAACCTTGCTACCTATTATTCTAAAGTAGAGGAAAATTCGGTACTCTTCCTATAACACAGCAATTCTTGGTACTGTGCATATTGACTTTTAAACAGTGAACATGGTAAGAATGGGGAAAATAGGATTTGAGAGTGCAAGAGACACCTAGATTGCATATAATTTGAGAACTTGGCTACATGGCACCATTTTGTGCCTGCTACAAAAAGAACAGCAAAACTGCAATCTATACAAATCTCAATAAACAATAAAATAGTAAAGAAGCACTCTCTATCTTTGATTTCTGCATAAAATTGCTTTTAATACATTTTTCTCCTTCATGAATCATTAGATCACTACCTACTATCCAGTGGATTACTGCTAGGAAATAAGAAAGTTTGGATGGTTGTTTGTTAGTGGGAGGCTGTGGATTGTCTGATCACTTGAGTGGAGTGGGAGGTTTAGACTATGTAGTTAGAGAAGGGTGAGGACAGGAGAGAGAGAATTTAAAGCCAATGTACTCATCTGCAGTAGCTCAGCTATATCTACTAAAGACGTATATTTTTAACTGAGCTATAACTCATTTTTATGTTAGTTCACTCCATAGTTTTCCCTCAAAGTTTCCTTTGGTGCAAAAAATGCTTGCACTACCCATTGCTGCATTACTAAAAGAGGATTATGCCTTTATCTATTTTGGTGCACAGTGAAGTCTCTGAAAGAACTGTAAAATGCCATATAAATGTTCAGTTAACAGAACCCTAGAACTGTGAACTTATGAAGATGATTTTCCATTATTTACAGTACTAGCAAAAAATGGAGCATATTTTATCTTTTAAAATTAGTCAAGGAAGCAATTTAGATTTACTAGTTAGATAAAGGAAGGATTATAGGTAATAAAATTCACTTTTAGCACAATTTATATGTAATCCACATATTTTCACTTAAAGTCCAAATGTAATTTACCACATTATCCAGCGTAAGTTAGAGATGCAGTATCTCCTATTTGATGACAAAATTTTCAATTTGTTAAATGTTTAGATTTCTATCAGGAAACTTTTTATGTATTTAAGGTATTTACATAAAATGCATCTAAACACCATTACCCATTTAATTTTCACTGTAATCAGAAAATGATCAATTGACACTTACTTAACGGTAATAAAAAATTAAGAATAGCTACGGACAATAATCTGTAAAACGAAAAAGGAGACTGGATGCTGGAAATGTGCGGTTCAAAAACACTTGGTGTTTTATAATAAACATTAAAAAAAACTGGTTGTCTCAGCGGTAACTGTCACATTCTGATTTAGGATTTTTTGTGAAATGAGTCTAGTCAGTAATGGGTAAGATATCACTATACCCTTTCTCTTATAAATCACAGCAATTTACTCAGTAGAAATGACCTAGTCTTATTCTCTCATTCCCCTATAATCCAATCACTTCCTCTCATAAGCAGTTTTCTCCTGGTTTTCACAATAATGCATTTTCTGTAACTAACAACCATCATTTCCTGATTATCATGCTTCTATCCTGGCACAGGAATGCGGGTCTTATGGAGGTCAGGGTCATCTTTCCCATCCATCTGTGTCCTGATGCTGTGGCAGCAGTTAAGTGTGTTTGCTAGAAGGTAAGTCTGGATAGCCCATCATTTAGCATAATCCTCAAAAACAAGACTGAATACCCTAACCTTCTCATGGAAGTTCATGCTTGCCAGTTTGGATAAGGACTGCCTTTTTCATTATTATTTTTTTAAGAAAAAAAAAGTATCATGTCCAGTTATATCATATTAAATTGATCTAGATTTCCCCCCAAATATTTGGATATTTAGGCATTAGATAGATATAGGGCCCAATCCTTTCCCCATAAAGAGAATGAACGAGACAAAGAATCCCCTGCTCTTCAAGGCAAAAGTTGTCGGAAGAGGGGGTATACAAGCATGGAGGTATCACTCCCCTCCCTTTGACCCAGAAAAGCAAGAACTCCAGACACTAGAGATTGGGAGGGAAGGTGCTGGGAAGTAGTCAAGGCTCAATTTCCGTAGTCTCATCTACCTGGAAACTCATGGTGATTTCCCTGTGTAATACAATGCTGACCCTGTCAGTATTAAGTTACACAAACTCCCATTGCACACATTTCAAATACCTTGGGTCAGGTACAGTTAGAACAGAATGAACCATCCTGCCATAACAGATGTAGGGTTTGGGGGGGCACTTCATAGGTTCTGGCCCTCTACACATATGCCCCAGCCTCTCAGGGATGCCCCAAGAACTGCACCACATCTCAGGACATCCATGCACAACGAGGCCCTTCAGCTTGCAAAAAATACCAATTCCCAAGTTCCCTAACTACACCATAATGCAGAATTAATTCTGTGGCCTCAGTACCATCCAATTCCCACCTAACTTTGGCTCTCCAAAATTATTTTATCGGAGAAAAGATGATATGGACTATAAAATGTAATATTTTGCTTGTTATGAATGCAAAAGTGAAGATCAGAATGAGTGCAGGTGCAAGATAACTAAGTTTCTCTTGCTATGGAAAATGTTCCCTTCTCTTCCCCTTATTGTGCTACAACACTGATCTAATGTACTGGTGTTTGTACAAACTTAGATCATGTTGAAAATATTTCATCTTGCAAAACAGAGCTGGCTCTTTGTGCAATCCATCAGCTAAGCAATAACAGTGCCATCAAACTATTTTATGAGACAGTGAGACCATTCCTATGAGGATAATCTACAAAACAGAAGGCTGAATAGTTGATCTGGATGTGAGAGCTGGATTAATCCTGAGTAATGCACTATGATGTACTCCAATATGCTACATTACTGTGATTATGGCTACAAATATGTACACAGGTCCAAGAAATTAAATAGAAATTCCTGCAGTTTTAAAGGCAAATAGATTTAGATACATTTTAACTTTGGAGTAAAAGGTACTGTAATGAAGGTAATAGTAGTGAGATCCTCCATTTAATTACCCACAGTATATTCAGATTATTAAACATTTGTCTATTAGATACTGCTGCACTAGGACATATGTTCACAAGATCCACATTTTACTATAACAATGGATAGATATAAGGAAATTAAATTAAGAATTTAGAATGCATTTTATGTAAATTCCTTTATCAATATTGCATCTCTATAAACTTCGAGAACTATTAGGTCCAGAGCGTGTGTATAAATATTGTAAACAGTGCTTGGGTCTGAGAATAATGGCTACCTTTTTTTGTCTGAGCCTGAGAGAAATGAAAATTACTGCAAATCAAATTATGCCCAAAGAAAGATCCTTTGAGTGTTATTTCACAACCAAGGTTACGTTACATTCCTGAAGGACGCACTTAGCAGAGCTATTGCTTGAAAACCAGAAAAACTGGGTTAAATTCTGCCCTCAGATAAGCCCATGCAACTCTAATTGATTTCTATGTGCAAAATCTTCAGCTATTTTACATAGCAGTGAGAAGCCTTTATGCCCCCAAAAAGCTGTTTAACCTGGCTGTGCATCAGCAGAATCACCCAGAGGATGCTTGATTCAGTCCAATAGGGAAAGGAGAGGAGATCCACACCTGTTCTGTGCAGAGTTTCCCTGTGTAGTCTTATGGTGCACCCTGAACCCATCTCTTGCTGCTGGTACCTGGGGACTACTATTAGCATTATTATATACCTAGGACTGCAGTAACCCTGGCAAAGGAGAGAAAGTGGAACTGGGGAAAGGTTCCTCAAACATTTTTTAAGTACAAAAAATGCTCAGCTGGCAAGAACTGTAAAAGTTGATTGAGGTAACAGGAGTCGGGTCTCTTCCACAGATCCATGATTGCCAAGGAGGGATCTTAGGTCTGATAGGACATGTCTCAGCTTCCAGCTGGATAACCGTCTTTGACATGGCCTGTTCATTTTCTCCTCAGATCATTACCATTAAGCAAGGGAAAACTCCAACCCTTGCTTGACTGGCAGAAAGACACTGCTCTTGCTCAGTAACTTCATTGCCCATGTAATCATAGTCCTATATGGCAGTCAGGCTGGATGGGGCCACAGACCCTGTCCTTAGAGTGGGGTAGGGCAGTTACCTAAATGTGGCTTGACCATCTCAGAGGAGGTTCTTCTCCCCCATCAGTATGTGGCTTCTATAGATGCAGAGCACTGGCCAACCACCTCACAGCTTTGTACTGAGAAGGGCTAGTGGAAATTTAACAAATTTCTGAAAATTTTCAGGTAGGTTTGTTGCTGGATTTTAACCAGCTATAGAATTTCCAAATTTTGACTGATTGATTGATTTTGGTGGATTTTTCTCCCTTTGTTTTTCTATTGGCTCTAGTGCCAAGGAAGCTACTGGGCCCAGGATGTAGTCCAACAGCAGTTGTGTGTTTTATTACACTGTTCCACTTTTTGGTTTAAATGACAATATTAATTATTTGAATGTGCTACACTGCCTACGTTGTTCTTTTGAAAGCACAAGTATCCAATTTTTCCAGACAATAGTTTATAAATGGCTATAGCTTTTATTCTATGTATAAGGCATGGCAACATAGTTTAGAGGCGGAAAAGAATCATGTCAGGTCATCTGTACAGATAAAATAAAAAGACATTCATTATCCCTACACAGAATATTCTGTTTATACCCCATTCTATTTGTAGGCTAACTAGTGTGCCAAGTTAGTTACACAACACCCACTGTCCAGTATTACAGCTGAATGGGAGTAAGTGACATCAGCATTTGGCCCTATATTTCTATTTTGTATACTTTTTTTAAAACTTACGCTTCATAATCAGGTTTTCTGATAGTAGCTTGCTGCACAGGTTGCAAAAGCCTATCTGAAAATTCCACAGGTAACTACATTTGTTCAGCACCAGTTCAGAATGTTGACAGCTCTCAGTGAATATTCTACTTGTTTAATTGGGTTGTAAGTGTGAAATAACTGCCAATAGTTTCCAAAAACTTGTACAATTAAATCTCATATTGTTGAATTCATTACTGTATCTCATGATCTGGAAAAATACTAGATTTTACTATTTACTCCAGGTATCATCCATATAGATTTATACATTTAAAATTATGAAAGGCAAATATTCTATGTGTGGAAATCTGACATAACTTTTAAAAAGAAAAATGTAGGTTACATATTAAGAAATATGTCTCATTTGTTAAATGTATTTGGGTATGGAACAGACCCGCAGAAAAGTGTTGGAAACCCCATTGCTTAGCACCTTTAAAACTAGACTAGATAATAGAAGGAGAATCTACTGCTGGGGACAGTATTTGTATTGACATGCAAATTGACTGAACAGTCCAACAGGTCTTTTCTTCCATCTATAACTTCCATGATAACCACACTACCTGGAACTGTTTAGCAAGTTAACCCTTTCTTAAATCATTGCACGCTGCTATTGAGGAAATCTAAAAGATACTTTCTCTAGTGCTTTTATTTTAAATCCTCTTCCCCACCCCTCAATTTGAAACTAAAAGAGTCCTAACTCAGCAGCTGTTTTAGGAAACTGGAACTTGCATTTCTCAGCAGGCAGACAGCAGCTGAGATCTATAAGTGAGAAATCTTTTTCAGAGTTGTTAGCTCCCAGCAGCTTTTCCTATCCAGTTTCTGCAGAAACATAGGTTCTAGGTTTATTTTTTAAAAAGCTTTAACCTCTTTATTTTGGACTATATCATGTCATCAATTTATAGGCAGAATTTCCCATTAAAATCAATGGTGAGTTCTACTTAAAAATCAATGCAAATTATGGTTCTCTATTTTTGCTGATCTGGTTTCTGTGGAAACAGGAGACGGTATGGGAAACAGAAGCCAACAGCTGAAATATTATAAATATAATATGCTACTGTCATTGCTTTGCCCTGTGTGTGTGTGTGTGTGTGTGTGTGTGTGTGTGTGTGTGTAAACACTTGCATATATAATATACAGTGCACACTTAGGCTCTGATCTTGCAAACTTGTTTAACTTTGTATACTTGCTTAACTTTATGAATGCAAAGTAGAGGAAGGATGGTGGTTCGGGTGCTTGTCTGAGATGTAGGAGACTTCTGTTCATTTCTTGTCTCCTCTACAGTTTTCCTGTGAAATCTCAAGCAGCACTTAAGAGCTCTTACATGAAATTTAAAGCATATGATATTGACAAGAAATCTAGCTCCTTAGCTGGTGGCTGTTCTTTATGCTCCCCTAATAGAGAAAGTGCCATTAGTCTGGTGAAACACATTAGACTAGTGAAACAAGTAAAGTTTTAAATGAGTGATGTGTGTTTTAGTTGACCCCACACCACTTACCTAGAAATGGAAATGGAAACTGCCAAAGTCAGAAATCTGACTTGTGTATTTCAGGGGAAGACTCTGGCTAAGAAATTAAATGGCCATTTTGTAAATAGTAAGATAGCATCTAGCATCGAACAGGCTCTTCCATTCTGAATTACTTTAACTATGAATAAGTATTATTTTAAAATAGTAGGGGAAATATATTAAAGCTGCGAAGTTACAACAAATTCTTCTTTGCTTCATCATTGCTATAGCTTTATGAAGAAACAACATAACCTCTGACTACAATGTTTGCATATCTAGCTGGACTCAATTTCAGTATAGAAATACAAGGTATGACAGTCATCCTTACTTACAGCCAGGCAGAGTTTGTGTAGAAATCCAAGGTGAAGTGTTGCCATAGCCAGCATTTGTACTAGCGGCAACTTTAAACCTATACCATCTGAATTTTTTTAGTTCATGTACTATCTCCTCCATATAGTCATCAACACCAGTTTCATAGGAATATTGATCCTTCTCATATTCAATACATTCATTGTTTTCCCAGTCACTGCAGTGGATGGACCGTAGCTGTGTAGTAATCTTGTAGTTTTGAAAGTAGCCAAGGATAGTATCTGGGGTTCTCCATATCAAAATCACACTTGTTGATTGAATGTTCGAAAAAGCAACATCCCTGGGAGCACTGGGGACTAGAAATTAAAACACATTTTTAATTTAACATACAGTATCTTAACGTGAATGACAAGTTGTTTTTAACTATGGATACATTGAAGGTAGTTAAAACTAACTATTTTTAATAAGCATGTCTAATTATAGAGGATACAATTTCATATCATCAATTCAGAGTCTGTTCAGTCTCTTGCTAAATATACTACACATTATCAGCCTGATTCTCCCCTGACTTACATTGTTGTAAATAAGGAGTAGTTCCACCAATATAAATGCAGTCACACACACCAGTGAAAGTCAGAGGAAAACCAGGCCCTATATATACTTACATATGGCACACATATTTAGTATAGCTTTTGAGTTAAAGAAAAATATTTCTGATTGTGGCACGCAAGGGCAGCTAGGAGGAGAGGTAACATTGCTGTTGCTATACTCAGGACCATGCCTCGTCTTGGGGAGGGAATATTAAGCAAAGTTATTTTTGCCCTAACCTCAGCATCTTTTACTGCTGTTGCTAACTGGGATTCCTCTCCTCTCACTTTAAAATCTTGAATTGCCTCCCATGGTCTTGGTAATGCATGCAATCCTCGGGCAAAATTTCAAGGCTTCATAAACATTGTGTTTAACTTTCAGTATATAAACACATACAGTGTATATATATGAATACACACACACACACATATAGTAGCTCAGTTTTCCAACATTCAGTGCTGTTCAGTAAACAAGAAATAACAGCAATTAAAAACAAGAATTCAGTAACAAGAAAATGCAATGTAAAAAAGAAGCTCCCAACTTTGTGTGTTTCCTTTTATCTATACACACATATATGTGAACACCCATGTAGATATATAAATGTGCATGTACACAACAGCATGCCACATCTATATTAAGCCAACAGTGTACTTGTCAGATCTCTCAGACTGGATATGTGACATATAGTTTTGTACAGGATCATATAGTCACACACCAAGCTAATATTATCTCAAAGATTCTCTGTAAGATAATATTACCATTCTCCAGTAGCAGAAACCGCCAAGAGAAACCTACTCAAAAATCCTTCCGTATACCTGTCTAATGTGTTTTGAAATCTTCAGGGGGAAAAAAATTATTGGTAAAACAAAAATCCATTATCTATCCTAATACTGATAACTAAGCAGCATGAATACTTAAATAAGGAACAAAAAATCCCAGGATATTCATTCTGGGGAAAAAATGTTCCCAGTGGCTTTAGAAGACCTCTGGGAATATCTGAACCTTTGATTTTATCTCTAACAGTTCATCTTTTAACAATATGACATCCTAATGTTACAAACCTTTGTCTCCCCCATAAATATGAATACTTTGGAATGACTGACTGGTAAGAATGAAATCTTGACAGAATGGGAGAGGAGTGGCAGCTCAAGAAAACAAACGAACGAATACAAGCAAAGTGCAAACAGCAATTGTCTGGCTATACCGAAAGGACAGGAGACATTTGACATGGGTTTAATCAGGCTGCAACTTTATTATTAGATGTCTGGGGCTACCCAGCAGATAAAAATGTACAGTGCAGGTAACCCTATGTTTATTCTGTAATTACCCGGGGGTCTTTTACTAGCTCGCCCTCTTTTTCCATCCAGGTCCCTCCAATAAATCCATTGCCGGGATCTTACCATCCACCCCCCTTCGTAAGAGGGTTAAGGTGGGCTATAAGAATGGGGGTTGGCTCCCTGCCATACCAATCATAGGAGTCCCCAACTGCCCCCATTTGTTCCTTTAATGAACACCTCTTTTTAAGTCCTTTTCCAAGCCACTTATCTGGTCACTGTATACCTCTCCTATGGAGTACCTGCATTGGACAGCCACCTTACACTTAAATAATGAGTTGTGACATACAGTCTACCGCCCTTCATGTCATGCATGAACAAAGCCCTTCCTGCACCCGCTGTGGGGAAGGCAAAAAAAACCCCCATCTGCACTCCAGCCAATCTGATGGTAGGGGGAAAATTCCTTCCCAGCCCCCCTAAAAAAAGGGGCAGCTAGTGTAATGTCCACAGCAGGTATTGACCAAACCTGGTATTTTACCACCTAAAGGGCAGAGAGGGTGGGTCCAGCCTCAGCCTGCTCCGTGTAAAAGGGAAGCTTCAGGAGCAGAGCTGCCCCTTTTGAACCCTGCATTCCCAGGGGATGAGTCAGTGACCATGCTGACCCATTGCAGTAGTTTTCATCTCCTCCCACCCCCCACCATAAAGGGCTATTCCCTTAATTTGGCCGGCCAGCCAGCCAAGTACCCCCTGCTTAAAGTGCGGTGCAGTCATTCAAGCCAACAAGCATTTAAACAAAAATCATTTTCTGGCCATGGTAATTTTCGTATTTAATCTTTTAATCTGCATAATTTAGTGCTGTACCATTAATTACTATAGTCAAAATCCTGGACCCATTGAAGTCAATGGGAGTTTTTCCACAGACTTCAATGGGGGCAAAATTTCAACCTTTAGTAATGTGAGAGAGGTAAGAGCCTTCTTTAAAGCAAAGAATCTTCTGAAAGAAACAAAGGCTGGAATCATTATAATACTCCATAGCATCAAAATTAAAGTTCATATTCTTCTCTCTGTTAGTTAGTGAGAAGCAAAGCAGTTTATAGTACATTAAAAACAAATCAGACAGAGAACTACCTATATGGGTTACAGTTTCCCCATTATGAAAAAAATACAGCAGAAGATAACCAATGTAGGACATTCATGGGAATACTGCACACTGCATATTATATATTATATATTATACAGTAGGGGTCTTATTCTGACCTTTTCTTTATTAGTGTTGAAATGAGGGCTGAGGTGGGCTCAATGAGTGTAATAAAAATACTAATTGCTTCCTAAAAATGTTTTTTTTAAATGAGTGTCCTATATTTGAAGATAAGTTATTAGTATATATTCAAAACACGGCAAAGAATATTGGTCTGGTTTGTTCAATTACTGAAATGATAAAATTAGGAATGGATTCTGGGGGATGGGTAAATTAGCTTGAATAAAATAACTGTCGCTAGGTCTCACTTTGAAACTGAACCCAAATAAAACTTTTCAGGATTGCAAAATTGCTAACTCCAAATATTCAAAAATCAGGATCAGGCCCCCAAAACGGTGTGTGTGTGTGTGTGTGTGTATAGAAAAACTCTAAATATTGCAATATTTACTATAGAATCATGAGAGTTGACAGCACTGGGACAGAAACATCTTGGTTCAGTGTCATCTTCTCTATCTACAAGTGACCTCTTATATTTACTGAAAACTATATTAGAGTCTGATCCTGCAAGCACTCCATGGAATAAACCTCCATTTAAAACAGGGCCTTTAATCTCAGCAGGACTAGCAATCTCTGATGGATTAAGTGCTGCCAATCAAATTGTATGAGTTCCAAGACTTCCTGGGGAGTTCGGATCAATGTATTCTGGGGTTCTCTCACTGGGAGGAGCCCTGTTAACTATGAGATTTTATTAAAGCCAAAGCCTAAAGAGTCACTTTCCCATACAATATCTCAAAAATTAAAAGTCCTGATGGAGGAAAGATATAAAAAGATCTGCCTGGGACAAAGGAGACAGAAGAAACTAAGGTACAGAAACAGGTTTAATAATAATGGGGCAGATTGGGTGCACAAAGCGGTGGGGGAAATGGTGCAAGGATTCTCCTCCTCTTCCTTCCATGTGGCAGCAGACAACAATTTCAGTCCCTGTATTTCTAACGAGGAGGGGAGAGGCAAAGAGGAAGCTAATGCCTTGCCCAACCCCTCTATATTCCAGCCAGCAGATCTGACTGGCCTTGCAGGGGAGAACATACTGCACCCCCTGAAGGGTGCAGGGTGATGCCATAAAAGCATAATTAAGTCCAATAATGTAGCAGTAATAATGAAAAAGACACTTCATGGTTTGAGTGAACTACAATTTAAATATATTTCCAGGAAGATAATACCCTTGATCTAATAAAACTAGATCAAAATTGTCTCTTTGATGGAATAAATCCTATCAGATACCCAGGATGATAGGCACCTTAGATATACACTGGAGTAGATAGATATTTTATACTGTAATACAGTATCTTTCATTTTTATTTCATCTCATTTCCAATTTATTAAGGGCCTGTTTCAGTAGAAAATTTGTCTAGTTTCTGCCCTGCAAAATAAAGTGTAAGACAGCAGCAAACACAGAAAATCAATTTTCTGCCACAATGCCTGAACAGTTTATTAAAAAGGGATTTAAATGTTAGTTAAAAAGTTTAATTCATTTTAATCTCATCAAATACATTTAAATGGGCAAATCACATATAAATGTCATTTTCGCTTAGAATAAATGCAAAGATGCTGAGTCCTGAGCACATCAAAAAGAGAATGCAGGTACTCGGAGGGCAATTACTAGTGATCAGCAGTGACACTCCATGGTACAGTACCTTCTGCTTTGATGAATTGCACATTCAACTAGACAACTTCAAGACAACTACACTATTGGGTTACAGATACAAACAGGATTATAGTTACTTTAGCATGGAGAATCAGATTTTCATTCTTCAAGAATGACTAAAATTCCCCAAACTTTTTCTATCCACAGATGGTACTAATTTGAACAAACCATTCCATGCCTCCTAGAGTAATCATACAGCTTGTTTAAATTTTCTAAACATGATTCAACTATGAAGTGATCAATGTTCACAGTAAAATTACTTCAGATAACAAATTGCATTATTCAGGAATGATCCTTTATGATCTGATGCTTTCATCGGATATGTAACAAAGGTCTGCATATATACTCCCATAGACATGTTTCTGTTTTAATACACATCTAAATGTAATTGTATTAACCTTCACTGGCCTCCAGAAAGCCAGTATATAAATAAAAAGAAAGAAAAGGATGTTAGTTATGGTATACACTGGGACATTATCTGTCCAGAGTTGTGTTCTGACTAGCTGGTTAGACCTTTGATACTAATCTCATGTTTAAATCCCCCAATACATCACAAGCCTCATTATAATGTGATCAATCTATTTAAGTATT